GTTGAGGTTTGTCACCCTTGAGAACTGATGCTGTGACCCCAACATTTCCAACAGTTCTCATTAAATCCAGCAAAACTTCTCAGAATGTCTAAGTGCTCTTGGTTTCATTGCTGTGTTGCTAATTTACACCATAAAACCATATTGCTTGAATTATTAAAGATAATTTTCAAAACAGTTAGCCTAAACTGTAGCACTTATGCAAAATAAGTTTCAAGGTTGGGAGGATTACACTGGAAAAAAATCTGAGGTTGTGTTTCCATATAGACATGTTAGCCCATTTCTAAGAATAGCACTGACAATGTACATTTTCCCCACACTACTCAGTCCCAACTTTAAGTCCTTTTTAAAGTCCAGAAACTTGAAGTAATTGATTATGTCTCCGAAGAGCCACTCCACACTTGTTCTCACTGAGCTCATAGAAGTATTGTAAGCTTCCATCTGTGGGGTTAAAACTCCATTTCTAAATGGACATTGAAGGTGTACACGGATGGGGTAAGCAGGATCCCCGTAAATACAAAGTAGTTGTCCAGCCAGGCTGAAGGAATACTGACGGAGATCATCCAAAAGGTGAGACTCAGCAAGCATACCTGCATCATGCTTTCTTCCCTCTGCAACAAAATTCATGGACAGGAGGAGGGTTAAAGTTCAGTCAGATAAGTGAAAAAGTCTTCTAACATTTTGTTAAAAGAACATTGAAGCATCAAGGGTCTCACAGGAATATTTCATTCATTTTTCTTGTAACTATGACAATTCAGGAAAAAATGAAACTATTTATTTGTTCATTGATATATTTATTACGACATAGTCAGCTTGGCTATGAGGTAATGAAAGTGAAGTGTTTTAATTTGTAAGAGTTTCTTTTTTTTAATTTCTCATAAAAAAGGAGTTGTATGTTTCCAAGAAGTTTCATTTCAAGCGATTTCTCAAGATGGAAAGAAAAAAAAGTGCACTTAAGCAGTTGCCTCCTCACCCTATAAACCTCAGATTCCATTTTCTTAAAAAAAAAAACAACTTACCGACAGGGCCATACATATTTGCAATCATTCCATCTGGGGTAACAACAGACTGAAGCTTGATTCCGTGGACACGTTTGTGTCCATTGTAAAGCAACCTCTGGTTGACAGTGCCGGGTCTACAAATAGGGTGAACTGTCCCATCAACAAAAGCAAAACAGTTATTAAGTGGGGCTCCTTTTCGGTGAACAACTTCGGCAAATCTTTCAAGATTGGCTTGGCTTAGTTGCTGATGATTCCACTGCAGAATGCGATGACTGTGAGCTTGATAGATATAATCCAAAACTTGATTTGTAATCATACACAATACAGGAACTGGCCTAGCGAACAAGTGGACCATATCGCTGTATCGGCAAGGGTAGCACAACCGCTTCAAAAGCATGCATAGTCCTTCAGTTCCTTCACAAATTGTTCCTTGGTGACAAATTATAACATCAGGAATCCGCAAAGCTTGAGAAAGCCTTGGGATACCAGTTTTCCTGAGCCGAAATTCGGCCACACATTCATCTTCGGTCAGGTTTTGGAGGTCGAAATGTGGATACAAGTCACACGGCAAGTCCAGGTTTTGTGGGCTGTAAAGGTCGTATAGTAAGAGAAATTCGGCGTCATTGAGGACTTTCATGTCATAGTAGAGCACTATAGGCTCTCTCAATTCTTTCCAAGAAACCATTTCTTCTAAATAAACATACCACAACCAAAAAACTTGGAGCCGAGTCTGATTTGTTTACATCGAGTTTGACTTTGCCGTACTACACAAAACTTAATCAATTCGAGTTTTGGCGGGAGACGCCGTAGTCGGCCCAGTCTCTTTCGGTTGCATCCGCCGTACCAGAGCTTCGCCGTAGTGGATTTTAAAGTCCCTACTATCATATCCTGAAGCAGTACCGGTGGTATGGTATTGCATTGCATCTTGAAGTTCCCTATTCATCATTCAAAGTACGTCTTAAAAGTTCTAATGAAAGGGCAAAACGAACCACAATCAGCAGGAACATAACTTTACCTTCCACAATACAGCTAGCGTACCGTCCGAGGACGTGACTGAAAGCACGCTTCGTGTGTCAACAACAAAACAAATGAAAACTCCACCTTTAAGATAACATCAATTTCTGGGAGAAAAGTTCTTGTCCTCTTGTTAATGGAAGTTCCACGTGAATTTGAACTGACCAAACGGAACTTCATTTCACATTTTTCGATTGGTTCAAAAGGCACATGTGATGGAAGACCGGTAACCGGTAAGCTCAACCATCAAACAGGCCGGTAATCCTCTCAGGGATTGAGTTTAGTGATTCAAAAACAAGCAATTGTTTTTAAAGCTGAATATAATATTCAATATATAAAATATATACACTTTTGAGGTCTTGGTAGCAAGAGGAAACATTTGCATTGTTTTATTTTTTCACAAAAACCATGAGCTTTCTTACAAAGCGGTGATGAAAAACGTGTTGTGGACATTTTTGGAAGGCTCAGGTACAAGAAAACACTTTGAATATCAAACTAAGACCAGTTACTTACAACAGCTGTGGGTCAAAAGCTCTACTCCATTAAAAAATTTGCTCAATATCTCAAAATTGACGTGATCGCTGAGAAACATTTAAACTTAAGTTTTTGTAGTCAGCTAGTCGGTTATTGCTGGACCTGATCTTTGAGCAGTCCTAGCTATTGTGGATTCTCGTTCAGATTTACTCACTCTCACCTGTTCTTTTAGTGAACTGTTTTGTTGTTGGTGTTCAAGTTGAATTTTCTTCTTCTGTTTCTGAAACTGCAACTGCTCGGCTTGTGCCTTAGCTGTTGCTTCTTACCCGTGGTTCAGCTTTTGTACCATTAGCATTTTCTCATACTCCATGGCTTTGGTATGGGCTCGTAAGTTGGCGCGTCTTGTGCAGCAGCAATCATGTCCTTAAGGTTTTGGCAATCTTCTGTGTGCATTCGTCTGCTTGAGGGAGCAATGCTTTGGCTTTTGCGCCTCATGAAAAATCCCTTGAAGTGTTATGGTATCACTCATTGTCCCGTTAGACATGCCCGGATTTGGAAATGAAAAACACATTATCTTGGATTCTAATTTATTGGTTGGTTACTTGACCCAAAAAAACCTCTCCAGAGTAGAATTTTTCTCTAAGATATAAGGGCTCACATACACAGTTCGCCTATCCATGAATACAATCCTGTCAATACGCCTTATTCCGGAGTGTTTCATTTATGTCACGAGATTGTGTTCTCAGCTTTGCCAACTACAACGTTTTTGTTTCACTAATAGAGCCCTTGACAGATTGAATAACAATATTTGACAATATAATAATATTATAAGAATAATATAACTATTTTTGCCTCATTGTAATTTTATTATTGTATATGTTATTATTGTATATTACGACAGAATAGCCCCATATAGAGGAGTCATAATAAAGTGTTTGTTGTTATGTTTGACAATGCAATAAGAATCAAATAGTACTAATCCTGCATGTGATTCACGAGAGCAATCAACATCCTGGTTCTTTTATGGCATCATGTAATGCTGTCATTTTAATTTCTCTTTTGCTATGTTCCTCCTTTAATTTACTCTCCTGCATTGTGAACTTCTTGACTCTTTGCTTCCTTCCTTATTAGTAATTGATGTCTAGTCAAATTGGGGTCCCTAGCATTGATTATCGACCAATATTTGGGCATAAACCCCTGTTCTAATCTTTGTAGGAAAAATGGGAAATAAATGACGTGAGGTCAAATATTGACGCTTATTTATTGTTTTAATTCTACAATGAACCATTTTAAGCTTAAACGTAATACGACTTGCTATTGAGTTGACCCTTAAGTGATGAATATAAATTGAGATTAAATATAGGACAAGAAACGAAACATCCAATTCCTAAAGAATTGGGCTAGATTGACGTTTAAGAGATCGTCCAATCGGACCAGATTATGGACATGCAGGGTTCCACGCCTGTGAAACTCGTACTGGTAGAAGTGATTTCTCACTTTGGTGAAGAGGTGGTTTTACTAGCGGTTTGTGTTTTTGCTGCAGAGTAATTTATGAATGACCTGCTAAGGAATGCGTGCCATGTGAAGTGTTTTGGGTATCGCGAGCTTCGTCTGTCATCAGTCAGTTTCATTTCAAAGTGTGGATAGCCAGGGGGGCCACAGAAAAGGCCATGTGAAAAGAGAGCTTGTTAGAAATATGGAGGGAAACCCAAATTGTGTCACAGCGGAAGGGATGTTGCTAGTATTGTTAACTGACGGTTTTAGTTTCTAAGCTGCTAGCTGGAGAACACTTCACCAAGGCGCCAAGATCATACATGGATGTGTCACAGTGCAGTAAACACTTGGGTCAAAGAATTTCAGGGCTGGTGCAGCTGAAATAATTTTTTTTCCTCTAGAGCTAAGCCATGAACCTATTCATCCCATAAGAAGTCCATCATTCTTAACACACAACTTGATCAAATGAGTATTGGGAAGCCTACCCAACAAAAGCTACTCAGTGTTGACCTTGCTTCAAAGGCATGTACCTATCATTGCGTAGGCTTATTCCACCATTTTTGCTTTTTCTGGAGTAGTGGTGGATATGCTGGTTCCTTTTTGGTTGCAGTCTGCATGAATGAACTCCGCCATGTTTGTCACGTGCGTGTGAGTATATCTCCTTGTAACACGTGCGTCTTAAGTCATTAAAATATTTTTCTTATCACATTTGGTATTTTTTTTAACTCCCTGTGAGGTTGCACTCTAGTTTGTCATAGAACTCGCGCAGAAAGATGGATGGCTGGCATAGCTCACATATTTAGGGCGTTAGGTGCTTTATGTATTCTACCTTGTCCTCCAGTTCTTTGGGCCTTTAATAAATTATGGTGTCAAAAGGTTTATGTTAATTGCCTTATGAAATATGCCACCTGTGCTTTCTTGTTATTTTGCTTGTTTGTGGACAACAAGGGGGTAAAAACATTTTTTATCAGTTCTCCCACTTAACGGCCCAATTCAACAATCCCTCAGTGTTCAGGAAATATGTCACTTTTGTTCAAGGAAGTGGAGTTTACTTGTAGTGCTGGTGGGCACAAGTGGCCAATTAAACAAAAACTAGAGAAGTTTAGATTTACACGGCCTAGACAAAATACCAGGACCATGTCACTTAGCTGCTTGATTTACATGATGGGACGTTTGTTCAAGCAAGTGGTGCTAGTCGGGTCCTTGCCAAGAATGTCATTGGTTATAGTAAATTAAAAAAACAATAGTTTCACTACTTAATTACAATAACAGTTCGAAGTAGGTTGCTAGGTTGTTGAAGAGCCGCGTTCGAAGGGTCAAAAAGCAACTAGGCTATGAGCGCTTGGATTGGGTGAGGGAGATAAAGTGTGGGTGCTTTTAAGCGGGGTGGTTCAGGGGTGGGGAGTAGTTTTCAAACACTATCGTCGTACAAGGTGCGCGTTATCCCTGTGGTAACTTTTCTGACACCTCTACCTTAAAACTGCTCCTCCTTAAAGACTGATGGATCGATAGGATAAGCTCCCACAGTTAGTATTCATACTGAAAATCAAAATCAAGTGAGCTTTCATTCTTTTGTTCTACATAAGATTTCTGTTCTCAATGAGCTCACCTTAGGACACCTGGGTTATCATTTGACAGATTTGCGGCCCCAGCCAAACTCCCAACCTGACGGTGTCTTGGGCTTGGATCCTCCTGTCCGGAGACGAGAGTTAAGTCCAGAACGTGGACCTTGCGGTCTGCTTCCACTTCATTCAATAAGTGAAAAAACGATAAGAAGAGTGCTGTGTGTTTCACCGGCGCATTGCTGCTCCCACGTATTCTACACCTCTCATTGTCTTTTCACAAGGTCAGACTAGAGTCAAGCTCAACAGGGTCTTCTTTCCCCGCTGATTATGCAAAGTCCGTTCCCTTTGCTGCGGTTTCGCTAGATAGTAGATAAGGACAGTGGGAATCTCGTTAATGCATTCATGCGCGTGACTAATTAGATGACGAGGCATTTGACTATTTAGCTTCAGGCCCAACATATGACCTTCCATTTACATGATGTTAAACCTACCGACTCAACCACTGTCGGCCTACTCTGCATCGGCGAACCGTGCATCCTCACTTTACGAGCCATCGTTCTATGTTCCCTTTCAAGACCTTCAAGTCTCATTTAAGGCCATTGGGCCTGAAGAGTTCGCTATTTTTGATGGTTTGGGATAACTTAACCCGCCAAATACCGACCTGCTCTCTGAGCGGCATCGGGCACAAATTAAGTGCCTTCATCTAGACCTGATGGTATAGGTCGAACGCCTGAAATGATTTACTATCCAGGTACCGCATTCCAAAGCCATGGCCGAAGCCAGGCTAAGGAACCGCGCGCTCAGTCCAAGCCGTCTTAACACCACAGCTGTTCTTATGGCCAGAAGCCCGCGCCAATTGATTGCCAGAGCCTCAAAGGCAATGTGCCTGGGCTCATAGCATGATTGGGCCCACTCTCTAATGGCAGGGACGTCATAATAGACTTGCTTATCATGATGGGCCTTCTCGAGGTCCGTATTGTCTGCTACGATGGTAACATCAAGTATTGTTAGGTCTTAATGGCGTACTAAGACCAAGTCCGGCTTTCGAATACCTGCTGGAGTTGGTATTGCCGGCTCGCGGCGGAAACCGTATCCAATCTTTTCCGCAGAAGACATCATCAGATCTACGATCTTATCGTGCCTCGCAATGCGAGATGCATGTGTCCGAGGATACGACTGCAGTATATGTGACAAAGCCTCGGGCTTGCTAGAGCAGTCACATCTGATATCAGTATGGGGACGACCTCTAGCCAATCTTAAGGTTGTGGTGACCAAGTTGCCCCTAATCTTGATCGCCCTGATGTAAGCATGTCCGTTCGGAGTCGTGTCTCCAGAGGTAACCCATTGATGTTGTGCGGGTAGCTGTGAGGCTTTCGCCAGTCCTCACCCATCACAAGAGCTATATAGTTGTTGGGCTAACACACTCCTTAGGCCCTGACGTGTTGCCACAACAGTGTTATTCAGAGAGGTTTGCCTAGCTCTGAGGACTTTACGTGCGGGTGGAGTTTCCAGCATAGCACGTACCACTGGGTCCGGAACCAGCCATTCTAGCTGTTCCCGCTCTTTTCATGAGTGGAATTTCGTGCTCTAGCAAAGGAAGTCCGAGACCACTGTCAACCGTCATAGCATGGAGAAAACCGATTGAGGTATCCTTCGGTAGTTTCAGCCAAGACCTAACAGCAGATCGCATCTGTCAATCGAGCCATTGGAAGTACTTGGAAGATGACGTTGTTAAAGTAAGCTGATGTAATATCATAGGAACCAGATGACAACTAACGATATATAGCCTCTGTTGCGGCTTCAGCGGGGCCTTACTGATGTTACTCAAGCCCTGCTTAGGGGTCTCCGCAACGGTCGCCTTAGTACTTTGTGGGCTGATGTCAACCCCCAAGTACTTGTAGACTTGGCTAACAGTTAGTGTTGGAACTAACTCACCCCGCACCCGAAGGTACGGATGTGGATACACGATCCACCATTTCGCCCTGCCATCTATGTCCAAGCGAATACTCGCCGACTTTCCTTGCAGGCCAGTACTGAGTTCCAGTCCACACAGCGTGAGCTGGCAGTCCAGATCATCAGCCAGAGCCAGAAGTCCAGCCGGGGACCTTGCGATTAACGCAATGTCATCTGCAAAGGCGTTGTGGTTCACTTCTACACCTCCAATTTCCGTTTCAAGCTCTGGACCGAGGCTGTCGAGCGACAAATCAATCATGCCATTGAAATGGATGCTCATTGGGTCTCCTTGTCTGACCCCCCGACCCAACTTAATCGGTTCGCTAAGCTCGGTGCCGATCCTAAGCCTAGTCTGCACTTCGCCATACAGCTCACTCAGATAGGTCAGGAAAGGCGGTGGAATCCCTGAGCGAGCGGCCGCGACCAAGATAGATTGGTGAGATACAGAGTCGAAGGCCTTCTTCACGTCCATAAAGGCAATGTTGAGAGGGCAGAGGCTATCCTGATGATGTTTGATAACCGTCTGCATAAACCATACCGAGTCGGCTATTCCGTCACCTCTCCGGAAAGCCTTCTGGCCGAGACTGAGCGGAAGATGCATCTCCATCCGTTGTGCCATAATCCTATGGAAACATCCCACCACGATATTGGATATCGTGATGGGACGAAACTCATTAGGGGCACCTGCTCCCGACACCTTTGGGAGCAGCACAGTCTCGCCTCCTCTCAATGTACTCGGCAGGTAGTCTGATAGTAGCCACAGATTGAAATGTGCCGCCAGCTGGTCAACTGGTATAGGTCTCACGTCTTTCAGCTTTCAGCCGTCTGGCCCTGGCGCTCCATCTTTCATCCCTTTCAGAGACGGTTTGACATCGTCAGCTGTTATAGGCACCATAAGTTCCCACTTTGGCGGCCCCACAGGCTGCGGACACCTGTTGTCAGGCACAGAAGGTTGCTAAAAAAAAAGACTTCTCCAGAAAGGTTCCTGTCTCCCCATAGGTAGCTGGGTTGGCGGATCTTGCCAGGTGCCCGAGATGACATCTTGGGCACAGCGGGATCTGTTCTTGGTGTACTCCCGCTGAACCTGGGCATACTTCGCCCTGCGCCTGAGTCTAGGTCAATCCTGAGCCTTGGTCCGCTGAGGCTGAGGACGAGAATCCAGTGCACACCTCTCGTGAGACGACAACCAGGCCTCGTACTCCATGTCAAACTCGCTCCTCACCCGGTCGTCTGGACAACCAGGTACAATCTGTTCGATTGTTTATTCCCCTAAGTCTAAATGAGTCTCCAGCGCCCTCCTCAAGGCATCCGACCACGCGCACTGCTCGGCAGAGTCAGTCGTTTGGGGCCCAGGAACCCCGGTCTCAGGCTGTTCTTGAGTAACCTCGGATGGCATTGATGTTGCACCAAAGGTGGCATGAGCTTCGGAGAAATCACCCCCTTCCACCCTACCGTCTTTTGTTCCATCTGCGCCCGCCAGAGAAGAAGCACTCCCCCCAGCAGGGCCGTCTTGCGTTCCATGCACGCAGGACAATGATTCCAAGATTCTCTTATACTCCGCTGTCTGCCGCATCTTTTTGATTGACTCAGAAGAGCACCTTGGGAACTGTTCTGCCATGGTCTTACTGGTGATAGTAACAGCCAGCTCCACGACGTTCTTCTCTGTCCTTGCCAAGAGAACCTTTTCCTCATAAACCCAGCGTGCTTTCTTCCTCTGCTCAGGCACATGATCTTTATGTTAGTCCTCTTGGTGTGCACGATGTCAATGCTATGAGACCCCCACCTTGCCTCGGAACTCACGACAGCAGTCCGGGCATGGTAGGACACCAGCACCACCGGTCACCCTTTGAGCAGATTGAGCGTCACTGGAAGAGCCTGCTGTGGCAGGCTCCCCATTGTCATTTGAGTTTTTATCGAAAGCAATGCAAAGAGCTACTACGGGCTGCTAACCAGCGGCAGCTTGGGGCACCTTTAGCTTCACTGGCCGGTACGACCACCCCCAGCAGATGGTATAAGCACACGACTTGACATAGAACAAGCCCACCGAACGAGAAGAGAGCACCATTACCTCAGTCACAGTAGCTGGGCAAGATCACAGCCCGATATAAGCCATATGACTGATGTTGAAGTCTGGATAAGCAGATGTTAATAGCCTGAGGGCATGTGGTCGCCGGCTAGCGGCGGCGATGTCAATGTCCATCCCGCCATAAAACCATGGGCAGTTTAAGGCCCGCACGTATGTAGGGCTTTCCACCTTACCGTGCCTCATTATCCAGATGTAACAGACTTCCGCTCATAAAAGAGCATATGAAGGGACATAGCCCTGATGTTGAATATGTGTGTGATAGGCACAATCATCAAGTCAGGCAGGCATGGCCCTGCCAGGCGCAGCTGTGTAGACTAGGGGCAGCTTGCACCAGCCACCTAATAACTACTCCCGCCACGAGAAGGCAGCACCCCATGGAGAGTCATAAGAGTGTTATAGTTACTCCCGCCCTTTACCCACGCTTGGTTGAGTTGTGTTTGCAAGACCTTCGCTGCTGTTGGGTTGCATCAGGAAATAATCCTTGGGCCCTTACAAGGGCAACTTGCTGTTCATGGTTGACCTATTTAAGAAGGCAGAGGTCAAGCTAGGAAGGTGCTGCCTGTTCATTGGCTTAGCTATGGCTGTAAGCGTAATTTGGCATGCAATGAACAAAAATGGATGAAAAAAATGAACTAGACATTAATTTAAATGTCCACATTCTAAACTTAACTGTGGTCTTTGGATGGGAGGATACAAGCCAGACTAATATTCCTTTGATGTCAGGTCTTATCGTATCACTGGGAAGCAGAATTTTCCAAGTTCTTTCATGTTGACCCTTTCTGATTAAGACAAGGACATGGTTATTAAGTAATCCATTGCAGTGATGAAAACAACAGTTTTTAGATAAAACAGGAAAAAACATTTATTTTTATGAGCAGGTATCTTGGTTCCCCTTTTAGGTGGAGGTGTCAAAAGTTACCACTGGGATAACGCGCACCTTGTACGATGATAGTATTTGAAAGCTACTCCCCACCCCTGAACCACCCCGTTTAAAAGCACCCACACTTTATCTCCCTTTCGGGGATAAGGCACCCAATCCAATCGCTTATAGCCTAGTTGCCTTTTGACCCTTCAAACGCGCCTCTTCAACAACCTAGCATTGTGAAGAAGAATTTTCCAGATTCTCTCCTAGTTCAAGTTATGGCCCCCCAGTTTTTACGGGAACGGTGAAATATCGATCAAGTAATGGAAACCACTCAGAGTTTAAAAATGGAACAATGCGTTTAATGACGTTATCCCTACAGATACATAATGTCTTCTGAGAAAAACTGTAAGAATCAGAGAAAATGACTATAATGAACTGAAAGGAAATGTTCACTTGGGACATAACTAACCTTAGATCATATTGTTTGCAAAGGGTTAAACAGTTTCCTTATATCACGTTGAGATCCATCTTGATAACACAACGAGACTAACAACTAGTACAGAAGCAGTGTTCACTGGGTTTTTCAGGCAGTTTTGTTTAACCCCTCTACTGCTAACCCCATGTTAACCTCCTGTGCCAAGTCCATATTCCTTTTTTTGAAGTATTTTAAGTTGTCCTCAATAAAATGGAAATAACATCTTAACAATAGAACATAACCAAAGAAAAGTGTACATATTTTGAAACTACAAGAAAAAGTCTTTATTTTAAACTTGTGACTATTGATTTTTGTAATTTGATACTTAATGATGTCATTTTGATATAAAAATTAGCATAAATTAGTAAAATTGGTGTATATGTAGACCAAAATATGGGACTATTTCCTTCTAAAAATTATGTCACTAGTAAAATGAAGCAACTTAAACAAATTTTCAATATATTGGGCTTCTGCTATTTACAGAGAAAATTATAAAATCTCCTTGAACAATAACATTTTGCAATAAAGTCTGAACAGAAAATTCATGGCACTTGCATTCATAAGTTACCACACTAAGTTTTACTAAAACAGATTATTTGCTGGCTATTTACAATAGAATTAAATCTAATTACTGCTTTGTGATGAATGTGGAGTTTCACACCCAGTAATTGACTTTAGTGTGGTAAAGTTCAAAACATGGATAGTAACAAAGTCGCGGACTGCTTGGACGGTTTGGACAGTGGTAGTGACTGTCCTTGCGAACCTTTTTCTTATAGCACACCCTGCATCTCTTCTGAGGCTTTTGTTTAGAGGCTGTTTCTGTAACAGGTGAAACAAAGTGACGCTCAGTAAGCCTTACGAAATGCTCCTTTCTAGGAATCTCCATGTCAGCACCAGTTTCAAAGATAAGGGCTGCAATCACTTCGCATTAAAATTCCAGGAATGGTTTTTGACCACCATCCTTTTGATACACAATAAAGCTGTTGAGCATAGACAGCTGCATAAAGTGGATGGCCAGCTTCTAATACCACTTCAGTGTTTTGTGAGGTACCTCATAGGGTTTGACCAGCTGGTCAGTGCGGTCGACTCCACCCATGTACTTGTTCGCTTTGTCTGGCGTTGATGTCGGTGTCTCCTGTCAGGCCTGTGCACCAATGAATGAGCGTGGATTGTGCTCAGCATATACACATCCTTTTTATCTTTGAATTTCAGTGCCAATAGCTAATCAGAGCGACAAGCTATCTGCTCATCTCTTCTCAATTTTTCACTCTTAACTTGCTCTGGAAACCCTTTCCTGTTGTTGCAAATCGTTCCACAAGCCAAAGTTCCTTGCTGATGAAGGTACCTGTACAGTGGCAAGCTTTTGTACCAGTTATCATTGTACAAATGGTACCCTTTCTGCAGCAGTGGTTGCATGAGGTCAACAACAACTCTCACAGAAAGAGAAAGCTCTTGTTCTTGTGGTGCTACATTTTCTCTACCCGTATAATTCTTGAAGGAAAAAGTGTAACCACTATCCTCACATAACATAAATGATTTCACACCAAATCTAGCTCTCTTTAGGAGGATGTACTGCTTGAAACTCAGTCTCAGTCTCAGTCCTTTCCACAATAACAGTGACTCATCAATGGAAACATCACAGGCTGGTACATATACCTCCTGAAACTTCTCAAAGAGGTGTTCCAACAAAGGTCGCAACTTGAACAATTTATCAGGAGATGGATGATCGGTGCAGGATGTTAGAGTTGTCGTTGAAATGTAAAAATTTGGGAAGTAACTGAAAACGATTTCTGCTCATGATAGCATGGAAAATGGGGTAGAGAACTGGGGGTCCTTGGACCAATACATGTGTATAGGAGGCTTCTTTTATGGAACACTATGGTCGAACAACCGGCACCTTGTTCGACCATAGTGTTGACTAGGGTTTCTCCCCACCCCTGACCACCCTTCTTTCCCGAAACCCCAATGGTTTAAACCCATTTCTGGGTCTAGAACCCTCTTCGAAAGGGGTGCTCCCCCATTGGGTTTTGGAACTCTCCTGAGTATCGGGCCTCCCTCTCTAGCATATCCGGGGATTGGGAAATGACAGGGTACGAAGAATGGAGTCGACACCGCGTTTCAATTTTCAACAACTTTTAATTACGTTCCCTTAGAATGACATGAGTAGTTGCCCTAATGGCGCAAGGAAGAAGAAAACTAATTAACCGTGAGCGATTTTACTCCAAAAGACTAGATAGTGTCAATCAAGAAAGGAGAATGGTCTCGGGGTACATCCTACTTTCTGTTTCCCCTAGCCAACTGGCGGTTGACCTCCTCTTGGTCTGCTATCAGTGTTGCCAGCGCTTGGCGAGTCTTGTCCTTGTTCTTCTTCTTCTTTTTGTGCTTTTTCTTCGCCTTAGCGTTAGCGTCCTCAGACTGTGGGACTTCTTCGTTGTCTTCGGCGGTCGGCTGAGGTGGCGGGCTGGGAGATGGCGATCTTCGCCTTTTGTTCTTCTTCTTTTTTGGGGCGGGATGTAATGAAGATGTCTGCTTCGTCATCACTCTCGTCGTCCACGTTTAGCACGCGTCGGTTCTTCGCCGCTGAGGGGCCGTTCAGCGGCCTTTTGTTTTTCTTCTCGTTTTTCTTGCATGGTTCATTGTCCTGTGAGGAGTCTTCCTGTTCCACAGGGCTTGGAACAAAACGGCGTTTCTTCCTCTCCCTTGCCGGCGGTTCCTGGTCTTCGTCCTCCGAGCTGGGTAATGTAGCGATGCCACTGACATCGAAGGAGGTTGTGCGTCTCCTTGAATTGCCACCTCTCTGAGCTCTGTCTGTCGACGTGGAGGGTTGGGGAACACGTCTTCTGGACGTTGATGCTCCTGCGCTGCGTGATGGTGCAGTTTTAGGATGTGCATGCCCTAGGGTTCTTTTCGATCTGCTGGGGCGCTGGTGTGTATCTTCCTCGTCGTCCTCTTCTAGGTAGGCAGCAGTATCCCAGTCGTTTGTGGAACGTTTTACTGAACGTCTTCTCATGAGGATCTGATCTATGAGATATCGCATCATGTTTTTAAACGTGGGATCGCTTTTAAATTTCTCGGTAGTTGGGGCCCGAACGCTCCTCTCTGCGAAGACGTCCGGATTGTGCATTAGACAGTTGATGACTAAAATATGGATGGACATCATAAGGACGGGCCCAACCGCATTGAATGCATCCATGAATAAATCTTCAACCCAGGGGTCAAAGTTTATGGCTTTCAATATCTTGAGGACATCATTCGCATCGGGCGGATCCATGTCCAGTTTGTCTTTGTTGTCTACTCTGCGGAGCGGGTCTACTATCGGATCCACAAACTTCTTTAGATCGTCCACGAACTCTTCTGTGAATATCGTGCCCCGGTAGGCCATAATATTGGTCCAATTTTCCTTGAGCGTGCTAGCCATTTCGGAAATGGCAATATTGGGTCTGGAAAGCCATTCGCAATTCCAGTCAAATAGCCTGCAGAGGATCTTTTCGTCCGGCAGGTTCGAGAGGGCTTCCCCGTAGTTCAGCATGAAACTACGGGTGAAGTGCTTATTGTAATTTGGCTTCGGGGTGGCGCCACCGCTTCCAGTAGAATGAGACATACCTGTAAAATGAAGAATGGTTAGTTGTGGAAGTTGTGCGTTTGGCACACAGATACTTACAGACGGGTTGGTCATCCTAAAAGGCTTCTTTTTGTCAATTTGGGAACGTCACTCTGTAACGGCTGGTATGGGTAACGCGAAAGAGAATACATATACCGAAGGGGTTTGTGTAGTGCTTTGGCTTCACCCATTGAACCCGTTAGAGCAATACGCCCTCTTGGGGATGAAGATGGGTTACTGGGGACTCTCACCACGACGAGGTAGCACTACGGGAGAGTCGAAAGATGTGAATACATGAATTGTGTATAAGAGACGGGAAGGGAGGGTTACAGGTGGCTCTCTTACGGCACTCCTCAAGGGTTGGTTACCTCAGCTCGTGTTGTCCGACACAAGAGCCAACCTGTGGTACCTAGTGTTGTTGTTTTTGTTGTTCCTAAGGATATGGACCATTGGAGTAGTAAAGGAAGGAGTATGGTGGTTGAGGACTTGCAAACAAGTGAAATGGGAAAGAAGAGGAGACCTTAAGCGAAGAGACACTATTGCCATGTATTGGTTAATATGAAACCCCCGTTTGAGGCATGCGCCCGGTTGGCCATTAAGAGGAGTTAGTGAGAATTTTGCGCCGGACTACGTAGGACTAGTACCGACTAGAAAGATATGAATATATGAGTGGCGTGGAACAGACAGTAATGGACGTCCACAGGTGGCTCTCTTACGGCACTCCCCAAGGGTTGGTTACCTCAGCTCGTGTTCTCCGACACAAGAGCCAATCTGTGGTAGCTAGTGTTGTTGTTTTTGTTGTTCCAAAGGTATGGACCATTGGAGTAGTAAAGGAAGAAGTATGCTGGTTGAGGACTTGCAAACAAGTGAAATGGGAAAAAAGAGGAGACCTTAAGCGAAGAGACAGTATTGCCATGTATTGGTGAATATGAAACCCCCCTTTGAGGCATGCGCCCTGTTGGCCATGAAGAGGAGTTAGTGAGTATTTTGCGCCGGACTACGTAGGACTAGTACCGACTAGAAAGATATGAATATATGAGCGGCGTGAAACAGACAGTAATGGACGTCCACAGGTGGCTCTCTTACGGCACTCCCCAAGGGTTGGTTACCTCAGCTCGTGTTCTCCGACACAAGAGCCAATCTGTGGTAGCTAGTGTTGATGTTTGTGTTGTTATAAAGGATATAGACCATTGGAGTAGCAAAGGAATGAGGATGGTGATTGAGGACTTGCGAAACGGGAAAGAAGAGGAGAGTTGAAGAGAAGATCAAGTATTGCGATCGATTGGTGAATATGAAATTCCCTTTGAGGGATAGGCACTCTTGGGCATTAAGACGACTTATTGGGGACTGTCCGCCCGACTACTTAAGACTAGTACGGACTGGAAAGATATGAATAGATCAATGGTGTCGAACAGACAGTAAGAGAGGTCCACAGGTGGCTCTCTTACGGCACTCCCCAAGGGTTGGTTACCTCAGCTCGTGTTCTCCGACACAAGAGCGTACCTGTGGTACCTAGTGTTATTGGTGTTGTCTGTTCTTAGGAAGAATGTAGACCGTTGGACCAGCCAAGGGATGACAACGGCGATTGACCCGTTAGGAAAAAGTGAAACGGGAAAGAAAAGGACACTTGAACAGAACGGAGACTATTGTCAGCGATTTGTGTATATGGTGGCCTCTTCAGAGTTGGACTGGTGTTAGCTGATCGGCATAGATCGGTTGCAGCAGAGAGATGGCTGATTTCCTTTTTACTCTGGAGAGGCCGACGTATGCAGTACCGGCTGGAACCAAGGGGGAGTCCAGCCAGATGATAAGATGGTGAATGTTTTGGCCCTGAGCCTTGATGATTGTCTGGGCATACGCCGGGGTAAATGGGTAACGAGTGACCGGCACGTCATCCTCAATATGTGTCACCGGGTATACAAAAACCTGTTGTCCCTCAGGCAAACGGAGAATGATTGTGTTATTCTGAGATGAGATTATGGTCGCCTGTTGACCGTTCACCACACGGGCAGCTTTGTCGCGGTTCTCCATGAAGATGACACGCATGTTACGGTACGGGTAGATGGGGTCCGAGTCCGCAACAGAGGCGCAGGGGATGTTGGTAAGCGGGCGTCCCTTAAAGAGTTGGCCAACGACGATGCTGTTAATGCGTTGGGCTCCTTTGCGGGAGACTGTCATCACGGAGGTGTTAGTATGGGTCTGGAAGGCTGTCCAGATTTGTCGGTCTGTCAGGTCACCTTCCGGGCAAAGAACTATTCCCTGTTGCATTCTGTCCACCTGCTCCTGAGTGGGCCGTATGAAGCGGATGAGATCCAGAAAAGCGGCATATTCGGCATCGACGATTCTGAACTGCTGGTGTAAGCGATGGATGACTGCATTGTTTGACGTGAAGGTGGTGTTGTCGTTTATGATGGAAGTGGTGGATGTGATACGCCCGTTGACGGTCTGGAGAGGTTGCTGTTGACACTTATCACCTGCCAGGACCACAACGGGACGAAGATTGACGCGATTGAATGTAGATGCCATGACTCCAAAGATGGGTGCCGAGATCATGGAGGCCTCGTCCACAACAATCATGTCATACTGGTTCATGGTATGGTTGATCTCATTGGGCAGAGGGCCGTCTATGGGGATGCTGAAAGCACCATGGAGAGTGTCCGTCGTGACCTCGTCATAAAATATGGAATTGTAGCCTTGGGCCAGCAAGGCTACAGGGGCAGCAACTAACACTGAGAGCTCATGGCGAATAGCGTAATCAATAGCACGGATTAGAACTTGCGATTTTACAACCATCAAAAAAAGCAATCCCAGGAATTCTTTGATTTCTTTTTTGTTAGTTGGGAACCAATCGTTTGCACGAAACCTTCTTCTGAGATTTCCCTCAGCTATAAAATCGTTGGCATAGCGATTAGATTCTGTAATAAAACAATTAAGCAAGTCATCATTGATAAATAGGGCAAAATAGTGATACGGTTCAAACCCTAAAGTCTGTACTTGTACGCCAGGATTTCCTGTGAATGGAATGTCACGCGGTATTGTCCCATGTGCCATTTGCCAAACAAGGGGAACTTGTTGTTGTCTTCTTGCTGGCCTTTGCCTTACACGGTTTACCCGATTCCCATCATCTCTGCCATCAGAAGCTTCATCACCGCTGTTTTGTTCAGAATCTTAAACATTATCGCCCTCGTTCGATGAAAAGGAGTCAACTGACTCGTCACTTTCGTCTTCACTTGTTAATTCAGATGATTCAACTTCGCTTTCAGACTTTTCCTCGCTGTCTAAATCTTCTTCGTCCCCAGAATCATTCGAGATCATTTCTAGAACTTCCTGGGGTTCAAATCTTTGACTCCTCGCTGACATTTTTTCCAATATTGCCAAACTCGCCTCACACCTTCTCACAACATGACAAAAACGAAATGGCGGAAAGTTACAGGCGAAGCTACGGTAAAAAAACCGATGCATATATGGAAGACTGGTAACTAATAGTCACCAGTCACCAGTAAGTAACAAGAATCCCACAGGCCAAACAAGTACAGATTTGGTGTGCCGACGATTTGACTTCGGCCTTCAAAATCTCGCATACTCTGGGTTGATGACATGGAACTGCTGGTACAGGGTATGGATGACTGCGTTAGAGGATGAAAACGTGTGATCATTGATAATTGACGTTGTGGAGGTGATGCGTCCGTTGATGGTCTGCAAAGGCTGTTTGCATTCATCGCCTGCTAGTACCATGACGGGACATGTGTTTAGACGATTAAATGTGGATGCCATGGTTTGGAAGATTTGTGGAGAGTTCATGGAGGCCTCATCCATGAGGACGAGATCATACTTGTTTAAGGCGTAGTTGATCTTCTTCGGATGGGGACCTTCGATGGGGATGTTGAAGGCGCCGTGGAGGGTGTCCCTATCGATGTCGTCCAAGAAGATGGCGTTGTAGCCCTGTGCCAGCAGCGCCACGGGAGCTGCTACGAGGACGGACATGTCACTGCGAATCGCCAATTTCTGGAAGAAAAGTTGCATTGATTTTGTTAATGGCAGTTCCACGTGAATTTGAACTGACCAAACGGAACTTCCTTTCACATTTTTCCATTGGTTTAAAAGGCACATGTGATGGAAGACTGGAAACCGGTAAGCTGAACCATCAAACAGGCGGGTAATCCTCTCAGGGATTGAGTTAAGTGATTCAAAAACAAGGGATTGTTTTTAAAGCTGAATAAAATATTTAATATATAAAATATATACGCTTTTGAAGTGTTGGTAGCGAGAGGAAAGATTTGCATTGTTTTATTTTTTCACAAAAACCATGACTTTTCTTACAAAGCTGCGATGAAAAACGGGTTGTGGACATTTTTAAAAGGCTCAGGTACAAGAAAACACTTTGAATATCAAACTAAGAGCAGTTGCTTACAACAGCTGTAGGTCAAAAGCTTTACTCCATTAAAAAAATTCGCTCAATATCTCAAAATTGATGTGATCGCTGAGAAACGTTTAGACTTCAGTTTTTGTAGTCAAGTAATCAGTTATTGCTGGACCTGATCATTGAGCAGAATAGCCCCGTATAGAGGAGTCGTAATAAAGTGTTTGTTGTTATGTTTGACAATGCAATAAGAATCAAACAGTACTCATCCAGCATGTGATTCACGAGAGCAATGAACATCCTGGTTCTTTTATGGCATCATGTATTGCTGTCATTTCAATGTCCCTTTTGCTATGTTCTTCCTTTAATTTACTCTCCTGCGTTGTGAACTTCTTGACTCTTTGCTTCCTTCCTTATTAGCAATTGATGTCTAGTCAAATTTGGGTCCCTAGCATTGATTATCGACCAATATTGGGGCATAAACACCTGTTCTACTCTTTATAGGAAGAATGGGAAATAAATGACGTTAAGTCAAATATTGACGCTTATTTATTGTTTTAATTGTAGAATGAACCATTTTAAGCTTACGAATACACCAAAGATACAGGATGTAGTGAAGAATACCATATTTTAGGTGGTTGTGTAAAAAGGCACTCAAGAGTGGTACACAGTTGCTGGTGTTGCAGTAATTATAAACTGTAAAGAATAGTGCTAGTAGAATGTGTTCCTTTTTGATGGTGTAAAAAGGTACCCAGACGTTGACCATTTCAGGAAATTTAGTGCACAATGGTCGCCTGTTGGACCGTTGACCACACGTGCCCCCTTATCCCGGTTCTTGGTGAAGATGACTCGCATGTTTCCGTGCGGGTAGATTTGGTCAGAGTCCGCTACGCAGGCGCAGGGGATGTTGCTGAGAGGGCGTCCCTGAAACAGTTGGCGCACAACGATGGTTTTGATGCGTTGCGCTCCTTTCCTGGACACTGTCATTATGCTGCTGTTAGGATGACTCTGGAAGGCTGTCCAGATTTGCCGGTCGGTGAGCTGTCCTTCAGGGCAAAGAACAATGCCATGCTGCATATTGTCCACCTGCTCTTGGGTTGGACGGATGAACCGTATGAGGTCCAGAAATGTAGCGTATTCCGGATCGACGATGCAGAACTGTTGGTGTAACTGATGAATCACGGCGTTAGAGTGGGAGAAGGTGGCGTTATCATTGATGATGGAATGGTGGAGGTGATGCGACCGTTGATGGTCTGTAATGGTTGTTGCTGACACTTGTCACCTGCCAGGACCATAACGGGGCGAAGGTTCATGCGATTAAAGGTGGAGGCCATTGCTCCAAAGAGGGGCGATGAGATCATGGATGCCTCGTTTTTTTATTTTTATTTTTATTTTTTTATTGCAAGTAATACACACACAAAAAAGAAACAAAAATTACACAGAATAAATAAAGTAATAAAAGGAAAAAAAAAAGTAACAAAAGAAAAAACAAATAGCGAATTTACACACTTACATGGTAATATACTTACAAATATTAAAATACGTTACAGCAATGGTAATTCCATATATTACTGTACTTCGTATAATCTATAATTAATTTTTACATTTTTTTTTTCTTTCTTTGTGGTGAAAGTAATATAAATGCTCATAGTAGGTGCACTAATTTATGTTTTTGGAGTTAGGAGACAAGACCCAGCGAGGAAAAGAAAGGTTTCAATTTTTTTGTATTGCGCGGTGTCTTATTTACTAATTGGTATATATGTCTCAGATAAAACAAGAAATTGTTGTGAATTGGGAAACATTCTTTTGATCTGCATATCCAGATAAAGTTCTTAGCTATAAGACAACAGAAGTTTATATGGAGCTTAAAGGAAGAGCTGTCTGGCGTTAGGCCCAAAGCGGTAGTCATGTCTAAGTAACTGCCTGGTTGGAGGATCTGGTACGACTGAAGCCATATCGAGAAATTATCCCAAAAATTTTTGGTTTTGGCATTTCCAAAATAGATGCACCAAATCCTTTTTCGTCATGGCAAAAAGTACATTTTCCGTCTCTTTAACTCCTATTTTTGCAGATAGCTGTTAGTTGAAAACGTCTGTGTTAAAATCTGAAATTAAAATCAATTAGTTTTGAGCTCGTTGTACAAGTGTTTGCTGATTGAAAAACGTTTCTCCAGTCAGCATTTTTATCGGTTAAAGAGTGGATGTCTTTATGCCATTTGTCTATACAAGATGTGGGTTATTTACTTTTATTTGCTATTAGTTGCTTGTAAGCAATTCTAGATGATTTTTGGCCTTTGAGAAATGTGTTAAGAGGACTTTCATACTGCTCATGTGTTCTCGGATTTGTCGTTGTAAAGATTTCACGGCGAGGACGATTCGAAAAACATTAATGGTTTTACTCGAATGTTATATCTGTTCTGAAAATGGTCGAGGGAAAAAGTTGAGAGAATTCTCGTCCATTAGATGTTTAACTTTTGTTATACCCTTGTTAAGCCAATTATTGCAGAAAACTGGTGCGTTATTTATTCTTATTAATGAATGTTGTAACAGAGGTAGAGATGAAAAATGATCTTTGATACTATTTTCCTCTCGAAGAAAGTGTCAGACCAAATTTCTACAATTTCTTTGATAAAAGGGTCTTCTATCTTTTAGCTTATCAATATCCTTTCTGTTAAGATTTCCTAATTCGAAAAAAGACTTCCCCGTATTTTCCCAGCGCCAGATTAAAGAAGTTTTTTCCATTTGCCACGGCTTCCTGAATCTAGATACTTTTTAATCCACGTAGCCTTGAGAGATTTGTTAAAGAGGCAATATCAATCATTTTAGTCCTCCTTCAGGGTAGTCATTGATCATGATCGAGCGTTTAATTTTATCCTTTTTGCCGTTCCATAAGAAATTGAAAAAAGTTTGTTGATCTCTTTTATTGCTTGGTGATTCGTTTGCAAAGGTGTGAGTATATAGACCAATTGGGATGCTACAAGGCTTTTTAGTACTGTTATTTTCCCTATTAAGTTCTTCTAAATTTCCAGCATCCCAGGATAGTTTGGATTTTTGCCAATTTCTCGTTGTAATTGAGAGAGAGTGTTAACTGTTGATCTGTAGACAGCCACACGCCTAGTGCTTTGACCTTTCCCTTTTGCCATTTAAAATTTTTTCGGACAGAGTTTCAGGTTGCAGTTTCTTTTAGAACCTATCCACAAGGCCTCTGTTTTCTCATTGTTCAGCCTTAGGCCAGATATGTTCCCAAATGCTTCTATCAGTGACAGTGATGCTCTTACTGATTCTTCAGTTCCTTCTAAAATGAGTGTCGTGTCATCCGTGATATTGACTTACTTAACTTCGGTATTATAGATTTTGATGCCCTTTATTTCTTTCTTATTTGAATAGCTTTCGAGTATTTTCTACGGACAGTATGAAGAGGTAAGGCGATAGGGGGCAGCCTTGTCTAACACCTCTACTTAACTCAAAGAAATTGCTTGCCCATCCATTGTTTAGTATACAGCTTTCGGTATTGCAGTAAAATAGTTCAACCCAGTTTAACAGTGAGGGGCCAAACCCAAAGTGCCACAACGTTTGGTTTATGAATGACCACTGTAACGTGTCAAAAGCTTTTTCAAAATTGAGGAAAAGAAGTAGACCGGGTAAACCTTTGTTTTCTGCATACTTAATAGCACTGTCTAATGTGCGTATATTGTCACTGATACATCTGTTTTTAATAAAGCCTGACTGATCTTCTGATATAAGTTCGTAAAACTGTTTTGATTCGATTTGTTCCTTTGATGCAATCTTATAATCGCAGTTTAATAGTGTCAATGGGCGCCAGTTTTTAATCAGTTGGGATCTCGTCCTCCTTCTTGGGTATAAGCTTGACAATTCCTCGCCTTTGTGATACAGCGAGTTTTCCTGTTTTGTAAGAAAAGTTTAGGGCCTCTGTTAGTGTTTCGCCTACGTCTTTGCAAAAACTTTATAAAATTCACACGCAGGCCATCAGTACCAGGTGTTTTTTCCGTGGCCATACCGTTTAATGCTTCCGATCACTCTTCAGGAAGTTAAAAGACCCTCACATGCTGTTTTCTTTCTTCACTTAATACTTCTCAAATTGCAGGTGGAAAGAAAAACTTGTAATTTTTAAAAGATTTTTATAAAAAGGTCTCGCACTCATTATAAGATTTCCTGTCGGATTGATTAACTTTGTCATTAACTTTTTAAGCTTACGAATACACCAAAGATACAGGATGTAGTGAAGAATACCATATTTTAGGTGGTTGTGTAAAAAGGCACTCAAGAGTGGTACACAGTTGCTGGTGTTGCAGTAATTATAAACTGTAAAGAATAGTGCTAGTAGAATGTGTTCCTTTTTGATGGTGTAAAAAGGTACCCAGACGTTGACTATGTGAGGTGCTTCAGGAAATTTATGTGAAGGGTGATGATACCGTAGTGGTTTAAAATCTTGTAATACTCTGGGTTTCGCGACAATACTGTGTGACAAGTTTATATTGGCAGGCGAGTTTGTAAAAGGAATGATCATGAAGGATGATCTTAGGCTTGGTTCCCACTAGCGACATAACAATCATAATCATAGTCGCTTATGTCGTAGTCTAAACGCCAAAAAGCATAATCATAAAGACGCTTATGTTCGACATAATCATAATCATAAGAAAATGATTGGTCATTTATGATTATGATTATGTTTGTTGTTATGCTTATGTCGGAATGGGAACGTAAAACCTAGCGCTCATAGTTATAATCATAATGGGATATGCTCTTTCATTGTATTTTGGCCAATGAACGTCCTAGTGGGAGTAACTTGCAGCTCATGCTAGTCCTCGATCCCCAGGTGAAGTCCTTGAACAAGGCTATGACAACATCCGTATGCTTTTCTTGCCTTCAATATTGGTCTCACCCGGAAGAACCTTCGATTTTCCCTGTTTTCTGTCAGATGTCGTCTTTATTCAAGAAGCAAAAGGGTTTATACACATTGTAGGATGATAATGCGAGGGCGAAAAAAACCTGATTAAATGTAGTCAACGTGACAAAGCCCATCATTACTGCATTTAATCTGTAGGTTTGCGGCCACTTTTAAGCATCGTATTCAAAACGATGAGTACGCGCACGATGAGTACACCCTTTATGTCCACATCTTCCACCTGTGTGTTCCCACTAGATCATGACAACTTTAGGATTATGATTATGTTTATGATCATGATTATGACCATTATGTCACTAATGGGAACCAAGGCTTAGCCTCTACAGTTCAGGAACAATTCTGCTTTCTAGCAATACTACAGCATCTGACATGGCTTTACAGGTTTTCAGAGCAAAGGCAGGTGCTAATATTATAAGGTGTGAAGTTTGTCATTCTTGTAAACTGGAAGAGAATATGTTTGCAAGACCTTCGTTGCTGTTGGGTTGCATCAGGAAATAATCCTTGGGCCCTTACAAGGGCAACTTGCTGTTCACAGTTGACCTATTTAAGAAGGCAGACGTCAAACTAGGAACGTGCTGCCTGTTCATTGGCTTAGCTATGGCTGTAATGTTCGAAAGCTACTCCCCACCCCTGAACCACCCCGTTTAAAAGCACCCACACTTTATCTCCCTTTCGGGGATAAGGCACCCAATCCAAGCCCTCATAGCCTAGTTGCTTTTTGACCCCTCGAACACGGCTCCTCAACAACCTAGCATTGCGAAGAAGAATTTTCCAGATTCTCTCCTAGTTCAAGTTATGGCCCCCCAGTTTTTACGGGAACGGTGAAATATCAGTCAAGTAATGGAAACCACTCAGAGTTTAAAAATGGAACAATGCATTTAATGACTTTATCCCTACAGATACATAATGTCTTCTGAGAAAAACTGTAAGAATCAGAGAAAATGACTCTTTAACGAACTGAAAGGAAATGTTCACTTGGGACATAACTAACCTTAGATCATATTGTTTGCAAAGGGTTAAACAGTTTCCTTATATCACGTTGATAAGAGATTTATCTTGATAACACAACAGGACTAACAACTAGTACGGAAGCAGTGTTCACTGGGTGTTTCGGACGTGTTTAACTCTCCATACAGTTTATCTTGGTCTTCTGCCAGGTCTTGTAAAAAGGCTGCAGTTTTCGCCTTTTTTTTGCTCGGCTCTGATTGTTTTGGGGGCGCCGCAGTAGCAAAGACCTCTTTGTCTGTCTTCTTGCGCACTTTGTTTTTGGCGGTGGGTGCACCCACTAATGGCCTCTTGTTTTTGGCCCGGCGTCTTGGTGTTGGTGGTCGTCTTTCTCGTCGAGGGGGGTCACCAGGTTACGTGCAGCCGTCCTTTGTTGCGAGGTGCGAGATCGTCGCTCTGATGAGGACAGGGCGTACAACTGGGTCAGTTCAGCTTCCTCGTCAGAGTTACCGCCCAATGAACGGAACGGCAACCTTCCTCTGCTGTCAAGTTTGACGCATTTTGCTGCCAGGCTGTTTTCTGTTCGCACTGGAGGTTTTTGCTAAGTCAGGCAGACAGGAAATGCGTCTCCTGGAGGTGTTAGAGGACGCAGAGGTGCTGGGTGTGGAGTCATCCTCTTTGTCCTGGTCCAGATGGTGACGTCGTCTGGAATCCCGCTGTTTGGGTGGTGTGTCGGAGGCAGTGTTGTACAGTGACCTATCCCTGAGGTTGTCACTCCTTTGCACGGTTCTTCGCCTTTAGTCAGGTCTCTTAGTGCAAAATAAGATGGCGTCTATGAGATATTGGTTAACCGCCTGTTTCGTTGGGTTTGTTCGCAGAGTTTCTGTCGACGCATTCTTGACCGAGTGCTCAGCGAAAGCCTTTGGGTTATGCAGGAGAGAGTTGAATGCCAGGACGTGAATGGCGATCATTAGAATGGGCCCACAGGCATTGAAGGCTTCTGTGAACAGGGCCTCCGTGTTGTCGTCTTTATGAATCGCCTTGATGACGTCTTTATCGGGCAGGGCATGACAGTACCGGTCTTTGTTGTCCAGACGTCAATGTGCGGACATTATAGTATAGAGGTTATTGACGAATGTAGTCGTCAATACAGTGCCCTTATAACAGCTTATCTGCTCCAAGTTGTCCTTGAGGGTTGAGGCCATCTCCGACATGGCTATATTTGGTTGACTCAAGCACTCGCAATTCCAGTGTTGTAACGAGGTCAGAATCTTGTCGTCGGGCAAATCCTCTAACGCTTCTCCGTAATTCACTAAAACACTTCTTGGAAAATGTTTATTGTAATTCGGCTTTGAAGTGCTGCCCGACGATTGGGAATCCTGGGCCATACCTGGAAATGAAAGGGACTTTAGTTCGTAAGAAGTATGTTTGATACGTGAGTGTCGGGCTGGTTAGTCATGGACAATGCGGAAAGTTAGGGCTGCCTAGGTTTCGCTTGTTGCAGTGCATTTGGCTTCACTCGTATACCTTGGTCTGGAAGTGGTTGAGTTGACGGGTTACTGGGGACTCTGACCACAACGAGGTAGCACTGCTCGAGAGTCGAAAGAGAGGGAAAAAGACGAAAAGAAGAGATGCGAGTAACGGCGTGGCTTCAGAAGAAGCTCCCTTACGGCACTCCCCAAGGGTTGGTTACCTCAGCTCCTGTTCTCCGATGCAGGAGCTTCATCAGAAGTCTGTCATGTTGATGTTATGGTTGGGAAAACAGAGATAAGGTTCGCCAATATGGCGAATTCTAGTAGTCTGAACGATTGACGTTGCGAATAGATATAGTGTTGTCAAGAGAGTACAGTGGCATGAACTCGGGAAAGAAAGAGGTGTTACAATTTCACAGGCCATAGCTGGTGAGCGCGAATTGGTTGCAGCAATGAGATGCTTGATCTCGTCCTTACTCTAGAAAGGCCAACGTAACCTGTTCCTGGTGGGACTACGTCCGAGTCTAACCAAATAATCAGGTGATGGATATTTCGACCCTGCGACTTAATGATAGTTTGCGCGTACGCAGGAGTGAAGGGATAGCGAGTGATCTGGACGTCGTTGTCCGTGTGGGTCACTGGATACACGAATACTCGTCCCTCTGGGAGGGAGAGAATGATGGTGTTATTTTCGCATCCCCCAATGGTTGCCTGTTGGCCATTTACCACCTTGTCTCTATTCTCGGTGAAAATGACACTCGTTTGTTTGTGAGGGAAGATCGGGTTCAGGTTGGCGACAGAGGCCCAAGGGATGTTACTAATGGGCGGTCCCGGGAATAGGTGGCGAACGATGATGTCGTTAATTCATTGCCCACCCTTCCTAGAGAAGGTCATGATGGTGGAGTCACTGTGCTGCTGATACGCCTCCCAGATGTCTTCATCGGAGAGTTGTCCTTCAGGGCACAGGACTATGCCTCTTTGCATCTCGTCGACCTGTTGCTTAGTGGAAAGTATGACACGTATTAAATAGAGAAATTTTGCATACTCTAGATCGATGACACGGAACTGCTGGTACAGGGTATGGATGACTAGGTTAGAGGATGGAAACGTGATCATTGATAATTGACGTTGTGGAGGTGATGCGTCCGTCTATGGTCTGCAAAGGCTGTTGTTTGCATTCATCGCCTGCTAGTAGCACGACGGGATGTGTGTTTAGATGATTAAATGTGGATGCCGTGGTTTGGAAGATTCGTGGAGAGATCATGGAGGCCTCATCCATGACGACGAGATCATACTTGTTTAAGGTGTAGTTGATCTTGTTCCGATGGGGACCTTCGATGGGGATGTTGAAGGTGCCTTGGAGGGTGTCGCTGTCGATGTCGTCCAAGAAGATGGCGTTGTAGCCCTGTGCCAGCAGCGCCACGGGAGCTGCTACCAGGACGGACATGTCACTGCGAATCGCATGAACAAAGGATAACTTTCAAAATTGCAGTAATTACATTTAAGGTGCTTCATGGTGCTGCACCTAGCTATATCACTGATCTCATCAAGCCTTATACACCTGGTAGGCTTTTTAGATCCTCCAATCAATTTTTACTTTCTACATCTAAATTTAGTCTTAAAACTTATTGTGGGCGGTCTTTTACTATTGCTGCACCTTCTGTTTGGAATGCACTTCCATTCGAACTTAGATGTTGTAATTCCCTTCTTTTAAATCTAAGCTCAAGACTTGGCTTTTTAAATTGGTTATGATGTTGTCGTATAGAATGATGATGTTTTTATAGGATGACAATGTAGTTTTGTAGGTTTAGGATTTTGTTATTTTTAGTATGTAAAGCGCTTTTGGACAATTGGGAATTTTTATAGAATGACAATGTAGTTTTGTAGGTTTTGGATTTTGTGCGCTTTTGGACTATTGGGAATTAGCGCTGTATAGATACTGTATATTATTATTATGATCTGTGGCACGAATAATGGCACGGGTGGGGCAGGTGTGATCAAAACATGAATGAAGTGGCTGCAAGAGTACCCGTTTACATGCTGACATTCGATCCACCTCTGGTTCCTGCGCAATTCAGCGATTGGCTGTAAGTAAGGAAAGTTGGCACCGTTATTGTTACTATTATTTTTTAGAACAGATTTGCAGCAGTAATCACTGTTCAACTCAACGCTGGTGTCAATTGGTCAGCAGCCATCGGGGTCAAGATTTTGATATCCTTGCTGTTTCGTACTCTGGACAGGGCCATGTATCCCATCCCTTTGGGCACAGTAGGGCAGTCAAATCACACTATTAATTTCTTGATGTTCGCGCCCTGCGTCTTACAGATCATCATGGAGTAAGCTGGATTGAACGCATAGTGCACTCTACTGAGCCCGTCTTCAGAGGTGGTTGTGACTGGGTAAGTGAACGTGGTCTTCCTGTTCGGGAATTGCAGGACGAGGGTGTTGTTTTCGTTGTTCACAATATTTGCGAGCTGGCCGTTGACGACGCCTGTGCATTTGTCGAGGTTCTGGGTCATGACGACGCGCATGTGTTGGAACGGCAGAAACTGTTGGACGTCATTCTTGATTGGGATGGAGGAAACCGGTGTCTTTTCTTGAAACATCCGATGGATGACTGCTGTTGACCTTTTTTTCAGCAGCCCGCGACACGGTAAGGATGGTGGGGTGTGGCACCTCTTCTACCGTTTTCCATGTCGTAGTCGGTGACATCCGAGTGATTGAACAACAGCAACGGGTGCTGGAAGTTATCCAGTACCCACTGTTTAGGTTTGCTGTTTTGTACATATTGGAGAAAGTCCAAGTACGCTTTATCGGTACACCAGAACTGGTGGTACAGGGAATGGATCTGGCAGACTTCACGCAAGCGGCGGTTCTTCAAGATGGAGGTGGTCTGGATAGTATGGCCATTGACGGTTTGTAGGGGCGGCTGCTGGCATTCGTCCCCAGCAATGATGACAAGGGGTCTGTGGACGCCTTGTCAATGATGATGGCATCGTACTTCCTGATCACATAGTTGACCACATACTGTTGATCTGCCGCAACAGGGATGTTAAAAAGGGCATGGATAGTGTCGATCTGCAGATGAGGGTAGAATTCCTTCCTATAGTTGGTGGCAAGAAGACCCAGGGGACAGCAGACTGTGACAGAATATTATTGTTCGATTAATGTGTGCACTAGTCGCTTCACCACTTGGGTCTTACCAGTTCCGGGGCACCCTAAAAGAAGTTGGTATTTCTTGCAGTCCTGGCAATTGTCGTCTGGTTGTTGGTTGCTGGCGCCAATACCTGCAGTGGTCCATGTCGCATAGATGGCACGCTGCCGTGCCTGCACAAGTGGTGTAAACAGCTCGTTGTTGGGGCGACAGAGGGTACTGAATTTCAAACTGGGAGCGTTCAGAGGTGGCGAACGTGTTGTCAATGAGCCCCAGGTGCCACAGGGTGTAAATGTCTTGGACCGATTGTATGTAGTTGACGATGGTCTCAAAATAACTTCTCTTGTTGGATTCGCTGGAGAGGTACTGGAGGATGGCGTCTTTCGAGCCCAAGATTTCCAGTAGCTTCTCCCTCGCTGGCACAAAATACTTGATGGGTTCCAGCAGATGGTCTTCCCAGGGATCTCGCAGTTGATCGAGTTTGCGGTGCGGCATGTGCATGATCAGGAGTTGATAAAAGAACAGCGGGTTGAAGACAGAGAAATGCTTCACTCCTACGAGGGTAGTCCCGTCTTCATACCGCTTGGCCGGGTTCTTCTTGTGATCATAATAGCACAACCACTCCAGGAAGGTTAGCTGTTCATTTTCGTCTGGGCGAGCTAGGTATTCGTGATGGGCCTTCTGCTGAGTTTGCGCAGGTGTTGGAGGTGTAAAGGCCTTGGTACCATTTCTGGCTCTAGCGGATGCATATTTTTGAGGACCGATGTTGCTGCCTGGTACGCGCCGAGGTCCACGGAACATAGTTGCTGTGTTTTCACTGCATCGTGGCACTTGGCGATGTAGGAAGTAACATATTTCAACACCATGGCTTTCGCATCGGACAACTGGAGGTCCATAGAGCATTGAAGCGATCCAGATAGTGCTGGCACATAGGCTCAGAGGTTGCATCCTTTATCCGTCTGCATGTGATGGAATGCGACGTACGTTTTGTTGTTCTCCGTCAGGACTTGATTTGGGGCTTGCCTCAGCAGAAGCGCGCTAAGGCTTGATTTCTGGAGGTCGTAGACCAGAAATGCTTCTTCAGTGTTTCCCCGTGGTATCATTGCCGACAGCTTGGTCACATCCATGTCGTTCATGTCCTTGAGCCATATGAGAATATGCGCGTGGAGTGTACCCCTCTTCTGGACTTCGAACCTGTAGAAGTAGTTGCTCACGTTGTTCACAGGGGTCACTGTTCTTTATAAACAGGTGGTTTTTCCAGCTGTTAGTGTTGCTGCAGCATAAATATCCTCGAATGTATTGCTCCAAAACATGAGCGATGTGGATGGTCTCCGGGATAGCCAATTCGGTTGGCCCTTTGCCCGTCTCGTTACGTAGGTTGTTCAACCACGGTGGGAATGGAAAGGTCCCCTCAAACGGCGAGATGGTGATGAATACAGAGGGGAACCAAATTGGCGGACAGGGTTGATGAGGTAGCGGTGTTGGTTGGCCCAGTACTGGTGGCTGAAGGTTTTTGCGTCGAAGCTTGTTGTCGGCGAACATTGTGCTTTTATGCCGGAATTGATTGCGCCAGTGATCGTATTGAATAACCAGCAGTCATAATGATAGTGCAGCAGATCATAGTGGATGGCATAATCTGCGATGGCTGATGTGATCTTACTCATGAGAGACTCTCTCGATTCCTGCCCTTTTAAGAAAGACTTACAAAGTGCATTCTTGTGATATAGGTGAGGCCACAGCGCCGTTTCTACCTCGTGGAATGCTGGGTGTGAGAAGAGCTCGAATATTCATGGTTCCCGCACATGGCTTCGGTGCATCTCGATGAATTTGCGATACGAGCAGTTGGACTTGCTCATGAGGTAGTCAAACACGGCCTTTGTCCTACGTGTCGACACTGGGTCTTGGATGTTTCTAATTTTGACGTCGACGTCCTTCTGAGCCCACTTGATCTTGAAGGGTTCTTTGCGCAACTCTATAGCCGAACATCATGTGCGTGTATCGGCCTGAAAATGGGCGGAAAGGACGAAGAGCGTAGATTTCGTCCATGGTAAGATTTTGGAGAGCAGGTGGAATCCTTCTCAGGTGTGGGACCTTGTAGCGGCCACCTGTACACATACATGATCTTGAACTGGTTGGCTGCGTCAGTTTCCGGAAGGCAGGCAAAATTTTTTTTGATTGCAGGAACCCACAACAGCGACAGTAGGTCCAGCTTCCATGTTTGGCCCAAAACTTAAGGTCCTCGGCAATTTCTGTAAATACGCGTCTCGACTTTTAGACTGTCTAGGCACTCGGAAACAGTAAAGAAATTCTTCTTTGCGTGTGGCTTTTTTCCGCAGACGTTCAGAGCGCCGAGCAGCGAGTGTTTCGTTTAGTTGGCGGAGATTGGTCGACTGCAAAATCAGGTGTGAGGGATGCTGTTGCCAATGTCGTTGGCTGGACTCTTTTGTCCATTTTCGTTGAGGCATTTCTGAGAACCGAATCAAACGCATCCGTTGTACTAGGTTTGCAACATGAACAAAGATACACATGGCCGCGCCAACATAATATGCACATTGAAAAAAAGGTGCCTTTTCACATGAACAACATTACAGGTATTACCACGGAGACAAAATGGCACGGAAATGTTCGGTAAGTCTGACTTCAGTAAGTCACAGGAAAACGAACTTTGTTATCTCCGACTGCATACTAGTAGTGCTTTAAGAGCTTCTTAGGTACGTCCTGCAGCAACAGACATAGAGAAGTCGCATATAGAGTTATCAGAGTGTTTCTCAATTCACCAGTTTATAACACGGTTCCGATTAACAAACTGATTGCACCACGAACATTTTCTGCATGAAGTCTATCACGATACGCGTACTAGGCGTTGCTCTAGAAGCCTCCTACGGATGTTCGGCGTTGTACTAGAGTAGAAGACGATCTGAACACTCGTATTCATGAAGTTCTGACAATCGTCTACCCTAGTGTCTTACATAGACTGACCACTTAATAAAAGCGACCTACTCCTCTTTGCACAAGTTGCCAACTTAGGGAGTTTCGGCTTCCAATATGCCTGCTTGACAATCGTGTCTACTAGTCTTTGCTCCAGTAGCTTAAGTAATGACTTTTGACACTTAACATACAGTAATGAGTCTGATACTTACTGATATAAAGTAGCTTTTTCCTAGTGAGAAACAAGCGTAATCTGTGACGTCTGACAGCAAGAAGTGACGTAGAAAGATAGACAAGTCTTTGTTGTAGTCTTATGGGAACACGCAATTGCATGAAAATGATTCATTTTGCTACGTACGAGTTGATGGAACAACACACAGGGTTTTCAAATTTAGCCGGCGCCCGGCGCAAGTCACCGGCTGCTTCAAGCATTTGCGCCGGGTACTTTTTGTATTCCAAATCTACACAATTCTGTTTCACCAAACTAATCGTGATCTGATCTTTTTGAGGAAATAAACGCCAACTGCTGAAAATAATTAAAAAACAGTGTGGCTATAATTACATGTACCTTCTGATCTTCGAAGCAAGAGCTTTTTTTGGCGGGAAATTGTGCTCGTGTGCACGGACTCTCATTTGAACGTGCATGTATCGGCGCGGCAGGAGATTTGTTCTCACTCGAAAGTTGCAACATGAAGCGGAGGCAGCAAACGATGTTGTCTTTTCTGTCAACTGCAGAGAAGTCTCGAAGAGAAACTGGTAACAATAATTTTAGGAATAAGAGTTAACAAATATTACGTGTTGTTCCAGTTCTGAAAGTGGCGATAAAACAATATGCTGAGGCTGAAATGACCAGTATCCGTAGCTGTAGCGGCATCCACGTGGTGAATGCGAAGGCAGTCTTTCTCGTGAAATGTTACTCATTATGGTCTTGACTGCATCAAATGTATTTTCAAGAAAAGACTGAAGGAAGTTTTAACAAAAAAAAGCCTTCAACAGCGCAAGTGTTGAGAAAAAGTGCGAATTGCAGCGAATCGAAGTAGAAACGAAACGAGACCGCTGACTTTATTGTGATAATACTTCATGTATGTAAAAGGAAATATAGCAACGGAAGGCACTTTATGGCAATATTTCGTTATTCCGTTGATTCATTTGCAGCTCTCTTTCAAAACTGATCGAGTGTTAAACTGTTTATCTTTAACTTACATGTTCGCAAATGATGAAATCATGGTATTATATTACAGTTCATTTTTATATTGCAAGAAGTCAAAGAATGTAATAAGTACTGTACTCATGCAAAATGTAGAAGCATTCCTGGCCATTTTGGAAAACTTTATTATTTTGAAAGCAACTAATTTTACAAAGTTTGAACACTAACCCTTGTTAATAAGTGTACAGTGGCGGTCAACAAAATCAGTTACAGGTGCAAAACATACAAGGGAATAAAGTTCATTAATCAAGGAACCCTGGTTTTTAAATTTTCCAGGGGAAGCTCCCCATTCCTCTCTGCAGAAGGGGCGGGGTTGCTACCCCCACTCCACAAGGCTTCCGATAGTGCTCCGGTTACTTTGCAATTTCCTCCTGCTACTTTTTTTCAATTTGAAAACCCTGAACACAAGGATGAGATGATACTTACGGATATCAACTAGTTTCTTCCTAGTTGCAAGAAAGCATCCACGGCGAATGTGTAACAACAAGTAAATGACCTGGAAAAAGAGTAGAGTTTATATTGTATCATTATCAAACTATATGTGCGCACGAAATGCAGTGATACATTTACATAGCAGTTTGGGAAGCAACGTATCAATCATAGGCTACTTACTGATATCAACAAGTTTCTTCCTAGTTGGGAAGAACCGTACAACAGTGACGTCTGAAAACAGCAACTAAAGGACCTACAGAGAAACGAGAGTGTGTATAATTTGTATCATTGTGGAGCCCTAGGTTTTGGTTCTTGCAGTGCGTTTGGCTTCACCGGTATATGTAGGTCTGGAAGTGATTGAGTTGACGGGTTACTAGAGACTCTCACGACGACGAGGTAGCACTGCCCGAGTCGAAAGAGAGGGGAAAAGACAGAAAGAAGATATACGAGTAACGGTGTGGCTTCAGAAGAAGCTCCCTTACGGCACTCCCCAAGGGTTGGTTACCTCGGCTCGCGTTCTCGGACGTAGGAGACTCATCAGAAGTGTGTATTGTTGATGTTACGGTTGAAAAAACAGAAGTAAGGTTCGCCAATATGACGAATTATAGTAGTGTGAATTGATGTTGCGAATGGACAGCGTTGTGAAGAGAGTGCAGTGGCATGGCGTCGCGAAGGAAAGAGATGGTACAGTTGCACAGGCTTTAGCTGGTGGGCGCGAATTGGTTGGAGGAATGAGATGCTGGATCTGGTTCTTACTCGAGAAAGGCCAACGTAACCTGTTCCTGGGACTAGGGCTGAGTCTAACCAGATAATGAGGTGACGGATGTTTCGACCCTGTGACTTGGTGATCGTCTGCGCGTAGGCAGGATTGAACGGATAGCGAGTGATGTGCTGGTGATTGTCCATGTGCGTGACTGGATATGCGGACACTGGTTGTCCCTCTGGGAGGGAGAGAATGATGGTGTTATTCTCGTACCCGAGAATAGTTGCCTGTTGGCCATTTAGGACGCGCGCTGCATTGTCTCGATTCTCCGTGTAAATGACCTGCATTTGTTTGTGGGGAAAGATGGCATGGGCGTCGGCGACGGAAGGACAAGGGATGTTACTAATGGGCTGTCCTGGGAATAGATGGCAAATGATGATGTCATTGATTCGCTGGGCAGCCTTCCTGGAGACGGTCATGATGGTGGAGTCGCTGTGCTGCTGATAAGCCTCCCAGATGTCATCATCGAACAGTTGTCCTTCAGGGCAGAGGACTATGCCTCTGCATCTTGTCGACCTGTTGCTGAGTGGGAAGTAAGACGTGTATAAAATCGAGAAATTTTCGCGTACTCTGGATCGATGACACGAAACTGCTGGTAGAGAGTATGGATGACTGCGTTCGAGGATGAAAACGTGTGATCATTGATAATTGACGTTGTGGAGGTGGTGCGTCCGTCGACAGACGGCTCCTGGTTGGGTTGCGTGATAAATAACGCGTGTTCTGCGGAGGACTCCGGGGTATTGGTGCCAGAAAACTTTTGTGTTTTTCTGCCCAATCAGAAGGCAGAACAGCGGCAACCGTTTGGAACTAGTCTAGTAAGACATTGTCCCCAGGGGTTCTCGCCATTCTTTACTTTTCTTCGTGCCATATTTTTCCGCCCGTTTAGACTTCCCTCGCCCCCACTCTCTGGCCCTGGGTCTCCGAGGATGAGACATGATGTACGAGATGATGGTGTTAATGTGTGAAATATTCCTTTTACCCTTTTTGTGCAAACCGGCCGGTGATCTTCTCCACCGTTACACTATCGTCCGGGGCTAGAGCAATGGCTTGTGAAAAAAACTTTATGGATGGTGACATGCTCTCTTCCTCTGGATGGCGCAACTGGTTCGGGCTTTGGTGGGGATAGTGCATGGTAAGGTGCTGGTAAAAGTAAATAGGGTTGAAGATGGAGACACACTTTACTTCTACCAGCACCTTGTTGCCATCATACGCTTTCGGTTTGGGCCCATATGTTCGATTCTGAAATATGGTTTTCCTGGGGCAATAAGTCACGTGACATTTGAGCAACGGCCATAGAACTTTGCGAAATTATAAAATTTCAAATAATGTAGCCCTCCCGCATGTACCAGACAACAACAAATTTTATTGAAAATTGGAAAATAACTAATTACATTACTTTCCCACCTGCAAATAGCTCATGAACTAATCGAGGTGGGGGAAGCTGAAGACATTACAAAACGAGATTTATATATAGATGGACTAAATAACAGTGAAAACACTACTATACAGTAAGTAGAATTTAAACTAACATAAAACAAGGCAAGTACATAACGATTAAGAAGAGAGGCTAACAAAGTATTAAGAGCGACTTCGCTTAACTATCAACTACAAGTGGAAATAGTCAAAAAATGACTTCCCTCAAACTCCGTCAGAATGAAGCCCTGTGGGCCCTAGTTACAAAATCGTTCCTTTAGGTACGATTGATTGAACGGTATTTTTTTAACGAATTTTTTCTTCCCGAGGACTAAAATTATGCAAAAATTAGAGCCAGTTTCAGTGGCTCGTATATTTAGAAATAAAGATTGTCATTAAAATCTAACTGCCTGTCTTATTCTTACCTCATTTCCTCTATAACTAGAACTAATAAGGTCGCGACCTAGTCTACAATAGATTGTTAAACAAATTTTCAAAGTTGTTGACTCAAAATCGCTTTTCAAACGGTCAAAATTTAACACATTTTCAAGAGCAAAAAAAGCGTATTGGTACATGGCTTTAACTAACAAGTCTTGCCTAGTCTGAAAGAGCATTCTTTTTTTCTTCAAATTGGCGAAATAAAATTTTTGGGTAAATGAAATCAGGAGCTTTGACAAAGCAGGGTAAAATGTAAATATTACACTTAAAAATATGACCTTTGACCCGAATCCAAGCAACTGCGGATTACGGTAGGCGGCAAACCTTTTGCCTATTTTTAACACAATATTGATCCGAAATACGTATAGATGAGAGATATGTTAGAGTATTAAGTGTTAAAAGCCCATGATGTGGTTTAAATTCCAATAAGACGCAAAACATCTGTTCGTTGCATGACCGATAAAGTCAGCGAAGTGAGCGAATCAATGTATGCCTAAACAATATTTAATCCGATCTTACCCTCCTAAGACTGATACGTTCCAGTATCAGATTTAATAAAGGTTCACAGAAGATTCCTTGGAATGACTTCAGAGGGAAATGATTGAAGAATTTGAAACTATAGCTCGAGCGCATTGCACTTCAACTTGTCGGGACTGGACAAATGCAAAATAAAAACAACTGTCAAACTACCACAGGCCAACCAGTTTTTAGTGTATTATGCAAATGAGGACGGAGCGCACGTCATTCCACACGGAGAAGTTATTTCTTGCTGTGCACTGTTGTGAAATAAAGCAAGCAAGGGATTGTTCCCTTTAACCAGTAAGAAATTAAGATAGTTTTCTTCTTGGTTTCTGAAGGAATGAAATTTTCCTGAGTTCTGGCCAATTGATAGACACAGGTTTGTTAGCAACAAATGCTTATAGCACGATTTTTTACACCAAAGACCTACTCAAGAGAGCCTACTTTGTCAGTTTCTAACTATTGTTATGACAGGTACATGACTGGATCAATTCGCCAATAAGGGCAATGTATGGTGCCTTGCGACGAACAGTTAATTGTTCCATACCGAAATATTGGCAAATACTTTGTAACATGTTGACACTGAACTTGTTTAGCGAACTTGCGTGATACATTTCGCATAGGTCAATATTGTCGTAGGTGATGGGGTGTTGGAGTTGAACCTCTCGAAGGATTTGTTCTCGAGTATCCCAGTACTGCTGTTGCTCGGCAGCAGCGTCATGATCTCTTCTCTCATCCTCGGTGGATTGATTGCGCAGTTTGCCTGCTTGGCGAGAGAAGTACGACTGAACTTGCCGCGCAGTTAGAAATTCACTATGGGTGAAAAGCCGTTAACCCTCAGCAGTTCTGGCGTAACGCATGTCGTGAGCTACGGAAGCTGGATCCTGTTTGTGACCTGTTTTCTGACTGACTTTAAACTTTTCGTCAAGATACCCCTTTTGTGATTCGCTGAGTCGTCCAGATTTTTTCGTTTGCTTTAACGCCCACCCTTTAACAATTTGACTGGTATTTACTACGCTTTCTGGAACAGAAGCTTCAGCACAATGGCTTGTTACGTCTTGGCTTGTTCCTTCTGTTAGGTTGGCGTGGTACATTTGCCTCGCCTGGTCAAGAAGGGTGACTCTTTCTACATGCATTTCACACTTTCCAAAAGACAGATGCTTTTCAAGGGCTGAAAAACTCTGATAACTTTTAACACATCCTTCGTTAGGACATTGGAAAAGACCTGGATCAAATTCTGCCTCCTCTGGCCCTTTAGAAAAGTTTTGATTTTTAGAAGACTCAAGAGGTAATGCTGGACATCTTTCTTTACCAACATCCAAGAAGTCGCCGGCTGAAAATTTCTCTTGAAAATTACCACAGAAGCTGTTGCAGCTGAAACCAAAAAAGAAAACATTGTGACAAATGGTTCACACTTGCGTCTTTATCTTACTTTGTCACGCTCTGATTATGTTGTTGTCCTAAGTGTCTTGTGGGATGCGTACGATAATGTATCCGCAAAAGTCTGCGCATACTGTGAAATTATAAAACAGCTATGTTGATAGTAAGAGTTAAAATATATCTGTCCTCGCGTTATTGTACGGAAAGTTTTTGCCACACGAGAGAGTGCAACTGAGAACAAAAAAAGGTATTTTAATGTGTTCGCCTGTCCCTTTTTTCCTTACTTTAAGTCTGCATTTTTAATCTTTCCTTATGAAAAAAATATTTATAACAACCTGTTGGTAGCTGTTTGTCGATGATTTTTCCACAGCCGACGTTGTAGGATCGCCATACTCGCATTGACGCACCAGTATACTGTAGGTTGTATATCAAGCTGATACCATCCAATTTTATGGGGCTGTCCTTGATAACTAATGAATCGACAAGTGACACTCTTACCCCAGGTACTCCTTCAGCTGCTAGCATCGCGGTTTCAAGGTCCTTTGGAGTTTGAACATCGTGTCCCTCATTAACAAATCTACAAACATGAGCTTTGATGGTGGCTGCTTTGCGATCGCACGGGCCTTTGCCACCTTGAGGATCACTAAAGTCTACTCTAGAAACGGCGATTCCAGTGACATCACCCATAGAGCGGCATGCAGCAAGCATAGTAGCATTATGGTAACATCCCGCGTTATCCTGCCCAAAAAAATGCAGTAGAAATTTCAGGATTCTCCGTTTTTAGTGTGCGTAGTATGTGTTCCATGATGCGGATAACTACCGAGCTGTCTTGGTTACAGTTTTTAACAATGTGGACGAAAGACTGATTCTGAAGTTTTCCATTAAGTCTTCTTGCCACCACACTTATGTGCCATGAGATGCTTCTCTTGGCAAACCAGTCTGCCTGAGATTTGCGGTATTTTTGTGGCAAAAATTTCATGGCCCAGTCTTGGGTGATCATTACAGACGAATTGTCTAGTTGTTCAAGTGCGTCTACTCTGGCCATGTCCTGAATTTTGCTTCTCAGCTGATGAGCCTTCCAAGACAGAATGTTTTGGGCTGCTTCATTAGAGACCTTAAGATACCCTGAAATCGGTGTACGGGTAGCGCCATGTTTTTTTCATTTTGTGGTGACGTCATCGACCTTACCCGGTAGAACCAGCCGTTTTTTCGGGGTAGACACCAGTTTACCCGTAGAGGTTTTACGAGTAGCTGCAATCCTACATGATGGAGAAACGAGTAAGTTTTTAAGACTTTTTAAGTACAAATGTAAATTGTGTGACTCCTTGGCAATGTTATTGCAAGTCTGTTCAAATATTTTTGCCAAATTTGAATTTTAGCGGTAAAGAAAGCGCTTCAAAATGTATTGATTTTGGACCTCAAATGCGCAGGTTGAACTCTGAAACGATATCAATTTGTGGCGGTATTTGGGGGGATTTCTGAGAATTGCTCGAACGTTTGAGTTTCGCAAAAGAAATAGCATTGAAAAATTTAGCATGGGAGTCACTGTTGAAGTTGACAATCAAAGGAATTGTTTGGTGATGAGCCTCGATCAAATGGCGGGGTTTGCGATAACAAGCTTTCGGTCGAGGGACTTCCCGCCAAGTTTCTTAAAATCTTTCTGTGATATTTCAATAACCTTATGTATGAATGAATTATTTGTTGCAGCTTGTTGTTAAGATTTGAGGGAGATTTTGTATGCATTAAGGGACATGCATGCACAAAGTTAATTTTGCGTGCTTGTTCTTCGGGTATCTTAATCGAAATAGTCACGCACATGAACATTTTACGTCTACGGGTACACTACCCGTACCCGTACACCGATATCGGGGTATCTTAAGGTCTCTATTGGCCACATGGCATAAGTCATCTAACTCTGCAGTTGGAAATCCCAGATCCTCTCTTTCTCAGTATTCTTGAATGGCAGACACTAAGGCTGTTAGTTCTTCACATTGGGGGCACGTCCTATCATGATCGTGATCGCAAGGGCTGCTGAACAAGGGTTCCTTGTCATCGCTCAGAGCGTATACGCTAGAGTGGTCAGCCACGGGCGAAGAGGGAGATACGTGCACCTGTGTGACAAAATTGTAATAAAAGCAATAAGCGATATAATTTTAAACGACGAAGGTAAAATAGTGCAAAAGTATGCTTCATGACAAAAAAGTCAAAACTGACAGCAACGGTAAATGGTCATGTGGACTGAATACATCCAATTAGGTCTATTTTTACTATTATACTGTGCTATCGCACCGAATTTTATAAGGAACATTACATCGAAATTGACGTTTTTGTTGTTTTGTTCCATTATGAGACTAGCCTCGAATACGTTGTAATCTGACTTTATATATTGCTTTACACTCTTTACACAACTTCTCCACAGCTCAGAAACATCTGTCTTCAATACCCCGTATTCCTCTAGTCGCTTCACATGACATAGGTCGTCGTAAGCTTTGCCTCCTTCTGCGGCAATATAGTCGATTCGTTGGAACGACTTTCTTACGGTGGCGCTTCAGGCTGCGAGGATAGCCAACATTGTTGTACGTCCAAATGGTTTGAACCCGAATTCGTCGCAGTATTTAGTGTACTGCTTAACAATACGTTCTGAAATCATACTTCGAATTACGTTTGGTTTCTCCAGTACTTCGCCAGTTGAAAGGTTTATGTACTTTTGTCCAAATGGAAGGTCTTGTATGATGTGCGGACTTGTTATAAACGTCAAAAAATGATCAAGCTGGGTGGCCTCTACTCTCATTTGGGGACTACACCTTGATGGAAGTGGATTTCCTCGACCATAAACATGTTTGTGCAGTTGCGCAGTTTTCACTCGGTACTCAGTGATACCAGGTAGATAGCTCTGAAGGTGTTCGATGGGGACTAGATCAGCCATTATGGACAAGACTTGTCTTCTAGTATCCCAGGCGGATGCATTTTTGTATGTTTCTGCCAAGGCTTCAAGATATTTGCGGTCGGCACTACCTTCATATCCAAGCTCTTTGTCGACAAGCATTGAAGACTGAAGTGCATCCCATAAATGAGCCGCATCACCAGGCGTGATAACATCTAAAGCCGCTACAATAACGTCTTTAGCCTTTTTCATGTGGTTGCTATGCGTGCGCGCACCTGCCTTGGCCCATCTCTTCCTTGGTCGAGTTAATTTTTGGACGTTACAAGTTTCAAGAAATCTGTTAAGGTGCTCTCTTCGTATATACTCGTTATTAGGCTCTTGCAATTCCTCGTCACTGCTACTGACACTGTCCTCGTCAGGAACGATTAAACTTTCATCTTTCAATGACATTCCATTATTCCTGTATATAATTCCGTGAATTCATCGTTCACCGTCCCCTGAAATTTTGAGAAAAGGGTTGGTTTACTGCTTTAAAAAAAAAGAGACTCGCCGTAAAAACAAAAACAAAAAAACTGAAGGTGTTTTCACTTCCAACGTCCTAGTTTCTGCAAGTCTCTTGCTTATGATTTGAAAATACCTTTTGTTTTTTCTTGTGCCCTAAATCAGAGATAAATAATGACAGTAACAGAGTCACTTGATATAATGATAATGATAATAATAATAATAATAAACAAAACTTTATTCCTAGATTTAAAAAAAATAGACTATTTACAGATTCAAGAATATGAAATATTAAAATATATACCCTATGAACATTCTTCTTGTGTACGAAATATTAAAATATATACCCTATGTACATTCTTCTTGTGTACGAAAGAGAATTGTCGTAAAATGACTATCTAAAGACTACTAATAACAATTATAAAAAGCATCAAAAAGTTAATTAAAATAAATAAAAAACTATAATAATAATAATAGTACTTGTCAAACTAACAATGACTTTTAAGTGACGTCAATAATGAATTCCCAAGTAAAAGAATCTTTTCGATGAAACTTGGTACACTGCAGTAACAAGTCAGTAACATAGGCACGTTAAACGTGCATGAGCTATTTTGAACGCGTCAGTGTAACTTTAATGCTTCGGTGTAACCTTACCAAGAGTGATGAATCTACCTTTTTCATCTAAATGTAGATTGGGTTTTTGTGCGAAATTGCGTATTGCATTACATAAATGAAAACGCGAAACGCTCAGCTGAGTCGATCCTAAAGCTATATATTCACTTTCCTCTGTCTTTACCTGTTACATCTGGTGCAAGTTCAACAAATAAAGTGAAATAAATTTCTACTCACCAAACGTTGATTAGAAGGAAAACTCTAAGGTTTCCTCGGAGTTTGTTAAGCCAAAATGTGACTCACCGAATACTGAATAGTTACGAAATACCAGGATTTTTATCATGGTGGTAGATGGTTGCATCATCATAATTCACGAGGTTTTCACGTGCGATTGTACTCAGTGAAACAGTCTTTAACTCCGACAACTTATTTCTTCATGTTTTAAAAGCTATTGCTTCTCAAAAGACAAGAGCCTTTTTTAAGGCATTGGTTACAAAACCAAACAGGTCTTCATACGTCCAAGCTACTATTTATCATTGTGAAAAGCCAATCTGCATGAGATGTACAGTCACACAGCGGGCAAGTGAAAGTGTTGGACTTTGCCCCCTTTCGTGTGAGGGAATTCGAGTTATCACACAGTAAACTAGCAAACAGAATTATAAAAATAACTCACGCACACAATTTGCACGTGAAGATGTTGGTCTTTCGCCCTTTTACAATTCGTACGTTAAAAAAAAATCAAATTCTTTACTACAAAATTTTCTCAAACGATTTGAAGAAATCACCTCGGCTTCATTATAACATCTGCAATTAAATTATGTTTCATGCAACGTCAAGGTTGATAGCCTAACATTTATTAACATTTGTGAAACAGTCTTTAACTCCAACAACTTATTACTTCGGCGGAGCGCGAAGTAAAGGATTCGCGACGCTCAGGAATGTATCAAAGTTGCAATTTTTTGACAAGATTGGGCAAGTAAAGTCTGTAGGTTTTCGGTTCTATTCGGCTATTTGACGAAGTGAGAGCCGAATTAGTTCGAGATATCTCGAGATCACTTGGATTTCTTTGATTTTTTTCTTTAACTTTTTCGAGGAAGAAAGAATTATTATTTTGGCTTTCTCGAGGTTTGAACCGACTCATCTGTGTGACCCGTCAGATTAGAGGAGACTCTGAGTTGAGGGATTAGCCGAAAAATAGTTATGAAATGATGCACTAGTCTCGGGACAAGATTGGGCGTGCAAGTTTTCGGCTTGTTTCAACTATTTCACGAAATGAGACCAGACTACTTCGTGATATCTTGAGATCACTTCGAGTTTAGTCTTTAATTACTCGAGGAATAAATAGAGGATATTTCGTGGCCGCGCAGAGACACGAAATTTCTCTTCTAGTGTTGAAAAACATTTCACGAATGAGCCCTTTTTTCGAACTGTTTTATGATGAATTTAAAGTTACAAAATGCTGCACAAAGACATTTTGTCTTTGTTGAGTGTTACGTAGTAAAATTGCTTTCATGCGTTGCGTGACTTTCTCGAACGTTCTCTACGCTTTTGGATTATACATGAATAATTAATTAGGGCATGTTTACATTTCAGCATTAGTCAGCAGATTTGCATCAGTTACTGAAATCATAAAATATGTCGAAAAGCTACTACTATTCGCCTGTTTAGTAGTTTCTAGAACCTTATGTCAAACGGTATACAAGTTCCAAGCGAGTTCTTTTGACGATTTAAGTTTTCTCCCACGAGCAGCTGGACTGCTGTGTTTAGTCAAGTGTGACGAAGGTCGATTTTCAGGTTCTGTGTTTACAAGTTCGTGGAAGCCGTAAGATATCTGAAGTTCAATTGAGAGTTTGTTATTATTGGTAGAGGCTGTTCAGTTTGGGCGTCGATAAAACCCGGAACACGGAACATGCCGGAACATCCCGGAACATCGCGGAACATGAAAAAATAAAAATGTTCATTAAAAAATTATAATGACATAATGATAATATAATAAATTTTGTAAAAATTAATAACAACGTAAAATAAGAAAAAGAGAAACGAAAATAAAGAAATAACATGAGAAAACATTATTTTGTCGCAAATTATTTGTTGGGCGAGTGAGGGTCCATGCAAATGACAGTAATGAGTGAAGGCTTTTTTCAAAATTCAAAATATATTAAAATGGGTTGCGAGGAGGGGGGTTTTCAAACCTTCCTCACACAGCCACCTCTTGTAAATGTTTGCCATGCGGTTTAACGGTTATCCATTTACGGCTTTGCGATCGTAAGAAGAGCTTAGGGGCTCGTTGCTTTGGACTTGGATAAGATTCACGTTCGCCGTGAATAGTTGCAGTGGTAGCGCAGCAGTAGTTTGTAACTGTTATCAGTTAGCCTGAATTTAAGCCGTCTTCCGAGTCGCAAGTGAAGTTTGCGACTCGTGGAGATGGCTGAAATATCAGGTTGACTGTAAGCAGTGTAGAAACTACTACGAATATGAGTATTGTCCACTAAAATCCAAAGAAAGGAGCCCCTAAGCTCTTCTTAAGTTCTTAGAGCCTAGTCTGTAAGTAATTCATGTCAACCTCAAGAAAGCAAAGCACCTCAGGTAAGAAAATGTCGGTTATACATAAGGACCGAGTTGGCTTGACATGAAATACTGCACCGACATTTCTGACCATCGAAGAGCCGTAAATGGATAACCGCCAAATGATTAACTCACGGCAAACAATTAAAAGAGGTAGCTGTGTGAGAAAAGCTTGAAAATCACCCTCCTCGCCACCCATTTTAATATATATTTGAATTTAGAAGCAAGCCTTCACTCGATCATTACTGTAATTTGCATAAATCCTTACTCGCCCAACAAATTAATCGCGACAAAATATTGTTTTCTCATACTCGGAGATGATAACAGTTTCTTTTTCTTATTTTTTTTTTTGTTATTTTACGTTATTGTTAATTTTTACAAAAATTATTTTATTTTTAATTTTTTTTTCCATGAAAATTATTTTTATTTTTTCATGTTCCGGGATGTTCCGGAATGTTCCGGGATGTTCCAGCATGTTCCGGAATGTTCCGTGTTCCTGGTTTTATCGACGCCCTTTTGGATGTTGCTCTTTTCAGAATATCCTGACAAATCCCATAATTTCACAAATTAACACCTTACTCTTACCATATTTGATTTCTTACTATTCCTTCGCATTTACAATTAATTAGTTCCACAACCACGACGCCGAAGTGTACGCTCCGTAGCGTCTTGTTTCGTCATGTTTTAAAAGCTATTGCTTCATAAAAGACAAAAGCCTTTTTTAAGGCATTGGTTACAAAACGAAACAGGTCTTCATACGTCCCAGTTACTATTATTATTGTGAAAAGCCAATCTGCATGGGATGTACAGTCACACAGCGGGCACGTGAAAGTGTTGGACTTTGCGCCCTTTCGTGGTTCGGACGTGAGGGAATTCGAGTTATCACACAGTAATCTAGTAAACAGAATTATAAAAATAACTCATGCACACAGTTTGTATGTGAAGATGTTGGTCTGTGGCCCTTTCACAATTCGTACGTAAAAAAGAGGCAAATTGTTTTACTACAAAATTTTCTCAAACGATTTTAAGAAATCACCTCGGCTTTATTACAACATCTGTAATTAAATTATGTTTCATGCAACGTCAAGGTTGATAGCCTAACATTTATTAACCTACAAGAAAATTATCAAACTGCCAAAATATATTTCTACTTATATCATGTTACTCCACTCAATATAACAGTATCTAATTATTGTGTCAACTAGCTTCTTCCTATTTTATACCCTAACGCTGTTTCTACTTAAGTTACGCATCTTTACTAAATAGAACGAAAAGGTCGGTTGATCTTTGTAAGCGAGAGAATAATATTTTTAAAGCTTATTTACAGGATTAACAATACTCGATACAGCTTTCAAAAAAATAAGCTGCCTTTTAAGCTTCTAAAACCACGTTTTATAGGGCGCATACTTTCGAATTAAAGTCTATATTACTTCACTGGAAGAGATTTGAAAATATATGATCTTCTATACTCTACCCAGTTGTAGCAGGTGAAACAGAACTCATACTGACGTGCGTTGTACCGATAGCCGAATTAGGTCAGAAATGCCTCAAAGCAGCATCCACACTTAAATATAAACCCTTAAACAGCTGCTTCACTGTTCACAGCGTTTGAATCATGAAGATATTTTATGTAATGCTTCCAAACACCTGTACCCTTAATAAAAGACGAAAAAATTGTGAAGGATCAAGATGGCGGTCTCAAACTGCCCTTGTTCGACCTTTACCAATGCCATGGTTAAATAGATGCCAAGATCTCATTGGTTCCTAAGCATCAACTCATAGTACCTTCATCCTTATTGGCTCTTGCAACAAACATCCCAACACATAAGCCACAAAGATACATACGCTCACACCACTGACATATGAGCTATTTTTTCAAAATAGCTCAAAAATAATATAAGATGATAAAAACGTAGAGGCCTTTTGGTCATAACAGCGAGCAGCACAAATCTTGACAAACAAGCACGATTTTTACTGTTGCCTGGGATATTATATCATTCATCAGGGGATAGAAAAGATAAGTGAGCGAGGACTGGGTCGAGTTAACGTGTAAGGCATGCACGAAAAGGTGGAAAAAGCAGTGGAAATTCTATTAACCTTCTTCTCGATCGACTTTATTTTAATAATGTTTCGGCAGAAACTTTGTCTTTCTCTCTTTCACGGTGGCCATTACCTGTTATGTGCAGTAATCATGAGCGGATGCAATGTGAAAAAATCAGTCGGTGCTATAAGCAGAACTGGATATACACGTATGGTTTCCTGAAATCTGAACGTTGTTTTTTAAATTTTCTCTTGGTATTGATAAGTAACTATTTTCGTTTTCTAAGAATTTTACGACTTGAAAATGAAGGATAAATTAATCTTGTCCTAACCTCATCCAGCTCAGTGGCTTCCAGATTGTTCATTATGGGTACAGCTGCCTCTGCTGCCGATTGTCCTTCAATGCTTTCATTGATTTCGTCGAGTCTTTTGCGACATTCTGTACAAATCGCTAAGAAAGAAAAATCACTTTTTAGCTAATCCAACTGAAGCCTCAAAAGAATATACACAGAACTTTATTAGGGAAATATAGTCCGCGAAACTTACATCCTCAGCGGCTTTTTGCCAGTAGGCCTAATGATAAACCTTTTAATTATAAACAAACTATTTTTTAAATATCGAACTAAATATATAAAGCAACCTAACAAGTATTCTAAGTGAATGAATGGTCTAAACCATAAAAAATTAGAGCAGCACTATTTCCACTTTCGACTAACTTACTTGAGCCAACAGGGATGACGATTTTGCAGGCTATGTAGAGGCGGTGAGACTGTGTCAGTGTAATCCCTCGCTCGCCCTTCACATTGACTTTTCTGTGAAAAGCCCATGAACTTGGAGAAGAACATAACTTTTGGTTGCTTCGCCATCCAAGACCAAATGCATCGCGGTGTCTTGGGCAAATAGAGAGATTAAAATATTGCTCTTGTTCCTCAAAGATACCTATGATTAGGCACATTTTTGTTACATACCGTATTTATTCACTTATAAGACGCACCATTTTTTACAAGAAAATATGCTTGTTTGATCAAAATCTGCTCAAAACTCGGGGTGCGTCTTATAACCAAGTATTTTGGCGCAACAAAATATAACTCTTCCAAATTTCCCAAATAAATAATGCTGAACTGAAATGACTATGTAAATAAATATCTGTAAATGAATAAACAAAAGACGAACAACGTTGATCGCTGATTTTATATGAGTTGTTGGTTCTGAAAAGAACCGGGGTGGCTCTGAAAAGAACCGTTCGTTTGAAACCTCGGCTGAGCTCAGCTACTCATCGTCCTCGCCTTCGCTGTCTGTGTCGAACTCCTTGTCTATCGGCTCTTCTGCGTCTTCCGCTTCTTCTTCCTCGTCGTCCCAAACCGAATCATCCAGTTCCATCGAGAGCATTGTTGATGCCACAGGACTTAAACGATCTCGTTATCAAATCAACTGGGATCTCTCTCCATGCTCGGTCGATCCACCGTAACACTATCTCTTTACTGGGCGCTCGCTTCTTTCCGGAAGGCGTGTAGGTAAACGGGCCGTTAACCATCCACGCTTCGTACTGCGCACGGACCTTTGCTTTGAATGGCTTATTGATGCACTTATCCGGGGGCTGGAGAACTGGAGTGAGGCCACCGGGAATTACGGCAACATCGACGTTTTGTCTGTCAAGTAGATCTTTAACTCCATCCGTCAAATGGGCACGGAAGGAATCTTAAATGAGAAGTCCTCGGTGTTCAGGCGTAAATCGAAGATTCTTCCGAATCCACTCCTTGGTTCCTATAAGGTAGAAAAAAAAAACCGCTGATTAGACTACAGTTAAAGACGACTTTCTAACGAGTGTTTCCAAGGGAGCAAAGAGCGAACGTGCTAAAAAGCACGTGCTTGAAATGATTGTTGTCAGAAACAATTGAACAAATTCCTAACCTCGCTCTCACGAAATGAGGCAAACGTGACTACAAATCGTTCGATAAAATTGTCATGGCTAGGACGACCGTGAAACTCTGTTCATCACCTCCGCAGGATAAAATCGGCACTGGTCGGTTTCCAGTGAACTCCAGTGTTCTTGTGGCTGGCAACTCGAATCTCATCGGGGTTTCGTCCATGTTCAGGATTTGGCTGGACTCGTAACCTCAACGCTGTCTGGCTCTCAGCACGAAGCGATGGAATTCCACTACCTTGTCCTCCATGTCGGCTGGAAGGCGCTGTGCCAAAGTCGTCTTACTTCTCATGGAAATAGCATGACGACGTTTCCATTTCGTCTACCACCCAGGGGACGCCTTGAACTCTAAATCCGAGCTGAGTTCCTTTGCCTTTAGCCGAATCATGATGCTGTTTACTGCGAGACCTGCAAATATGAAAACAATGTGATCAGCGATTAACGGCAAAATTCCAACGTAAACAACCTTTAGGGGTAATGTAAACAGTGCAGTTATCAATTTTTACCTTAGCTTCTTTGATGGCTGAACAAGACATGCTGTTGATTTCTCCATTTACGGACCATCGATTCCGATATTCCGTATTTGCGAGCAATTTCACGGTTGTTGTTCACGGCTTCTGCTTCTGCTACGATCTTCAACTTGAAGTTTAGATCATAGGAATGACGACGAGTGCTTGGCATAATTACTGAAAATTTACGGTACGCTGAACGAATGCTCGAAGATTAAGATGAGTTTTGCAACTGATGAATGAAAGATCTGTCAGATGAGTATTGTTTATAAACGTAAAAACGGATCGATTAGTATTCATAACTTAAAACGCTGTTTCCTGAGAGGGATGACTTGAGTGAATGAAAACGTGTGACTTTTATGTGATTGTCTATGTGTGACTTTTTTTGCTATTGTTTGTAATGTGTGACTTTTTCGCTTTTGTTTTGAGAGTGAAAGCACCGTAATTAGTAACTTCTGGAAGCAAATTGTTGTAAGAACAGCGAACGTGGTCAACAAAATTTTCCCGTAATTCTGGGTGCGCCTTATAACAAGGTATTTTGGTGAAATTTTGATCTTGCTTACTTGTCACAGTCGTCTTTGAAAGTTTAGGGTGCGTCTTATAACCGAGTGCGCCTTATAAGTGAATAAATACGGGTAAACGGGTAAGTTGAATAAAATAACTTTCATTCATGCTACAACAGGTGAAACTCGAATAGAATTTGATTTACCTGCACGCGCCAACAGAAGCGTCGCCTCCGAACATAGTGTACCATCTGAAACGCCACACGTCTTGAGGTGGCCTTTGATGTCCTTAGAGCATTCAGAAATTCTTACACCCAAATCACCACTTGGAAGTACTAAGCTTGCTCCACAATCACCTCCGACATACCGGTACTTAGAAAATTCACATGAAGCCATTTTGGCGAGTGGAGCGCTCCAGGCGACACAGTATTTAAAAACTGAGTACTGAAAACTTCCTCAACTAATCAACCTCTTTCTTTCGTCTATGTAAGTGTTCCTGCATATGAACTTAATGAAATAAAACTAACAAAATTCCAAGGCAGTACTTTTTTTGCGTCTGGTTACAGGGGAAAATTGACACCTGTCAAATAATTGATTACCAGTCTGAACTGCTCTCGCTTCGCTAATTTGATAAATAAATACATAACTATTTAATGCAGGCCAGTCAACAGAGTTGCAAAAGTATTGCGGTCTAATAGCTTGGCTTTTAGTTTATTGAAATTAAAATCATTGTATCCATCCATAACACCATTTATATTCGGTCTTAATTTCAGAGTAGCCTGTAGCTTTCCTCCAGCGTACATGTACATGTAGGCGGCACGTAATATGAACGATAAAACGTCCAAACCGTGACATGATTCGGTTCCTTCTGAAAGTCGTAAGGCATTCCAGAAATCAATTCCCCTATAAAAGGCCACATAGTCTCGCAGACTTAAAAGTTTCAGGTGAGTAATTGTCACCTGATAACGTTTATTTATGCAGCTACTGAGTTGTCGGCATGCTTGATTGAAATTCGATAACAGGCTGAAGCTAGTGCCAGAAAGCGAAGAAGACAAAAATTGTTTCTTGTGTCTTGTAATTTTTTGCTACATCGAAGATTTTATAACTTACACTTTTTGTATTTTAACGCAGCTTCTCATCCACAGGTATTTAGGATGGATCTTGCTAAAAAAAAAAAAAACAAAAGATAAGAAAAGGTTTGCCGCCTACCATAATTCGCAGTTGCTTGACTCGGGTCAGAGGTCATATTTTTAAGTGTAATATTTCGCATTTTACTCTGCTTTGTCAAAGCTCGTGATTTGATTTACCCCAAAATTTTATTTTGCCAATTTGAAGAAAAAAGAAAGCTTCTTCAGAGGAAGCAAGCCTTGTTGGTTAAAGCCATGTACCAATACGCTTTTTTTGGTCTTGAAAATGTGCTAAATTTTGACCGTTTGAAAAGCGATTTTGAGTCAACAACTTTAAAAATTTGTTAAAAAATCTATTATTGAGTAAATCGCGAACTTATTAGTTCTAGGTATAGAGGAAAAGAAATAAAGATGTGACGTGCTGTTATATTTTAATGACAATCTTAATTTTTAAATATACGAGCCACTGAAACTGGCTCTAATTTTTGCATAATTTTAGCTCATTTTAGGCCTCGGGAAGAAAAAACTCGTTAAAAAAAATACCGTTCAATCGATCGAACTTAAACCAACGATTTTGTAACTAGGGCCCACAGGGCTTCATTCTGGCTGAGTTTGAGGGAGGTCATTTTTTGACTATTTCCACGTGTAGTTGATAGTTACGCGGAGTCGCTCTTAAATAACTTAATAAGACGGGTCAACTTTTGGTCTTGAGATCGTTATTTTCTCTGTTGAGGTTGGCAATAGGCCCAGGCATAATATGACACACTAAAAAAGATAACAAAACAGAGAGAAAAAAGCAGAAGGAACACTTAAACATCAGAAATTTACGAAATGTTACGCGGAGCACTTAAACACACGGCCGTCCATCTGAACCATAAGGGCAGGACGATAAAAGGTCTTAAATTGTCAGACATGAAACAAAGGCATCTCAAACGTTTTCTATGTTTCATAATAGTTACCATATTTTATATGCTGTAAAAACGAAAATAAGCGTCAAAAATTCTGAAAACTCTAGTGAATTGTTTAAACTTACGGAGACCCGATTCCCGGTGCAGAGAGACCTGGGTGGAGAGGGGGGGTAATAACCTGCACCTTGTTTGACTATAGTTCATTTACGAACTCACCCACCTCTGTCCTCCCCGTTTAAATGCCTCAACACTCGATTGCACCCCTTTTGGAGATAGGGGCCCTCAGAGTGGCGGCTAGGTTCTAAAGTTAATTGAGGGCAGGTGGTCTCAGTATTCGAAGAGGCGAGACAGAAAATACTTTTGATTATTGGGAGAAAACGAGAGGAGACTGCCAAAATCAAGATATTCGTTAGACCAGATTTTGGCCTTGACTTTGGACTGGCTAGGAGAAACAACCACGCTGGAAAAAGTTTATTTCGGAGCCTGCGAGTCTAGCCCAGGCTCAGCAAAGGTTACAACATTTTCGCTAGGTGGTGGGAGTACCTTAGGTGATCTCGGCCAAGGATGCGTTCACCACATTGCCCACTGACTGGTCCGTGGTGGACTGTGTGTTTTGGCTAGGTGCGGTTGGCCATTGTGCTTTCATTGCCTGTGCAACAGCTTGCTGTACTGCATTAGAAATCGAGGCCAAGAGGGCCTGCATGTTGACGGCCATGAGAGGCTGCTCTGTCGAGGCTTCAGCTTGTTGTTTAGCACCCGGTCCCGGACGGGTTACGATCAGTTCTGTCACACGTGCCTGCTTTGCGGAACTTTGTGTGCGTGTTTGAGACGTTCACTTTGGCTTAGGAGGCATAACGTAACTAACTAAAAGTAATTAGATTAAGATAAGGCTAAATGCTATATGTTTCCGCGAAGATAAGATATCAATAACAACAACAACAATCTTTATTGTGCTCTTGATGCAAAAAGTGTTAAGACACTAAAAGGATATAATTGTGGAAAAAAAGAGAGCAGAGCATAGCCACTCAGAAATAGGAAGAGCTAATTGCGCTAAGTGGCTGGGCCATGCGGAAAAAGTAACTAGATATCAAAGTTGTTATATAGGTTATACAGATTTAACTACAAAAATGTAATATCACTTAATAATGAAGGCCTTGGAATAACACTTTGTGAACACACATTTTGGATGTTTTTTTCTTCCAAGTCAGCGAAAATTTTTCCATCTGACCTCTGATTCAACAGAAAAACATGCCCTGCATTTGTTTTGGCCAGTTTTAGCTTATTTAGGAAGAAAAAATGTATGCAAAAAATGCATTGGCCTTTTTTTGTTAAAATAGGAAACACAAACCATTTACTTCTTTGTTTAGCAGAGTCGGTGGAGCTGGAGATTATTCTTACCTGCAATACATTCCAACATAAGAATATGCTATCATTTTTGGAGCAAATTGGTTTAGTAGTGAATGGAATCCTTCCAGGCAGCTAGTTTGGGCAAAAGGTGATGCTTGTTTTATTCCCTTCACAAGGCTATTTTTTGTCAAGGCAGTGTAAAGCTTTTCATAGGCAACAGAATCTAAAAGCAGGAAACAATAAAGGCAAACACAACATTTCATTCTACAAGGTCCAGTTGTTTGAAAGTGGGGCAGGGAAGAGTCATGTCTTAATCAGGGTTTCTTTCTGCATCCAATCATAAAGTTGTAGAAAGAAATAAACTTACTTTACTTTTTACGCGTTCATATCTCAATTCAAATTTCACATTAGCCCTGGGTTATCATAAGCCTGCTTTGAACAACCTGGCCAAGATGACAAGGGCGACCAGGCCGGGATATCTGCTATGCTGTGTTAGATAAAACTACTGCATAAGCAAGCATAATTTAAGGCAAATGGGAAAAGAATTTCCCTTTTTGTACTAATATTTCTGATATGAAACATACCAGCTTGAAGCCATTTTCTTTGGTGTATTTGTCCATGTCCACACTTGTTGAAAAGGGGATCACCAAGGGAAGAGTGCTTGTTAATAATGTGACTTAAGAAAGTCTTAAACTTTGCCCAAATCACTTTCCCATGGTCGCTGAAGGTAGTGGTCGCACTCCAATACAAATGGTTCTCGCAGGGCTTTATCCATTCAGCCAAAATCTCACAACCTTTCTCTTTGGACAGTTTGCTCAGGACCTTTCTTATTTCTACATGTACACAAAAAAACTAGGGAAGCAAAGATTACAACCATTAAGTTTAAATTGACATTTACTGTTAGTTTATATTCATTACAGCATGTAAAGATTTTATCTACCACACAGGTTAATATAAATGTCATGGACCATTCATAGTGAACATTTCAGTCAGCCGGGTGGTTTTCAAAGATTGGCGTTGATAAACGACATTGAGTGGTTTAATGATTTCAACAATAATATCAATTTTTTATTACATGTTTTCTAAAATAATTCACTTGAATATTTAACATACAAGTTTGCAGTGTCAGTAAGGCCTGCCAGTTTTGCTGGAGAATGTAAATCTGCAAGGAAATCACTGTGAAAAATTACAGGTTTACACATTTACTTTATCATAGGATACTTACTCTTCTTCAAATGCCATATGTCAAAGTAATGGGTAATGTTGCTGAGCACCTGCTTCATGTGGCTTGCAATGGTGGTGTGACGATCAGAGATTAATGTGGTTATTTAAACCCCACAGCCCAACAGAAATTCCATGCATTGCTTGAAGCCCATGAATTCCATGGCAGGACTGCTTCCTGGCTGGTTTCTCTGCAAACAATAATAAAAAAAGGTTCATGGAAGTCACTCCCACCAGCTTGTATCACTGCAGTGAACTAAAATTATGTACTTATATAATCTCATCAGCAGTGGTGACGTAACTTGAAGCTAACACTGGCTGTAAAATTCACTAACATTTGAAGAATAAACCATGAGTTTTCACTCTCACCTGAATAAGGGCAAAGTGGATTATCATTGGCAGAGTACAACAAAACATAGTGTAAGCTCCAAACTTGGCACTATGTCCCATGCTGTCGTGTCTTCCATCTCCCGCTAACACAATGCCCCCTTGGATAGCTTTCACCTTTTCCAACAATTTCGCTTGATATTTTTCCCAATAAAGTGAAATTGTTGGAAAGAGCTTGTTCTGAAAAAAAGATTGCAAATGAAAAAAATAATATCAATAAATAATAATAATAAGATTAGTTTACGTAGGTACAGCTTTGTAAAGCATGCAGCAGCTTTTTGCTCAATATGTTTTCAAACAGAACAATAAAAATACATTACGTTATCATTTACCTACTGCATGGTATCTGTAATTTTTTTTAATCTTAATTAATCACTTTAATAATATTATTTACATCTGTAGTGTGGAACTAATTTGCACTTTAGTTAAGCTGTACCACAATATTCATTTATATCATTGCCTGCAATTAACTGGTACTCGTGACCAGCAATGAAATAGGCTTACCCTTTGGAATTTAAAGAAGGTGTTGAGGGACACACAGCCAAGACCCATGTGTGAGAATATCCGGAAGACTTTCGTAGCAGAGCCTCCAGCTAGCAGTACAGCGATGCATAGCAGGAAATTGCCAGCTGCTATTCCTGAGTTTGGCATGTTTGGCTGACTATGCGAAGTGTTCACTTGCTTTGGGCACTTTGGGTTATGGCATGTACTTGTAACCACTGCTTTGGTTCCAATTTGCCTTTCTTCTATTGAAGGGTTGTCTGTCTTACAAACATGGCAAAAGTTGAAAAGGAGAAGCAGCTGTGACAAAAACACAATGTGCTTTGGTTCTGACCTCAGGCTTGTTCCAGCAGTTGTCAATGTGTTTGTAACAAAAAAAATCATGAAATAATATTCTTTCTTTGTAAGCTTAAGAAGATGGCACAACACTAGCTTTGAGCCCTATTTACAGAAGCCAGCCCAGAAAGAAAGGTAGCCATTAACAAAATAACCATTTTCAAACTTTAATATTCCCATTTCTAAGTGCATGTAACCAACAAGACTTGTTTATTGACAGCTACTGATGACTGCTATACCTGCTAAGTCAACTTGGTGTTTACTGGGAAATGTCTCAGTGAGCAGGGTACAGATGTAATAACACACGCATGAGTTTACACAACAAGATGGCCCGGAACAACAGGACAGTGCCATATTAGTGTGTGAAAAAACTTGACAAGGTTTTGCATGATCTTCACTAACATTAATCTTTTCTGGCCTTTTACGAAAATATCTGTTTAAAGGATGGTGAAGTTTGGCGAACGTTTATGAAAGTTTTCTCAAACCAAATTATCGTTATGCTAATAGTTTACTATTAGCTGACACAAAACTACCTGCAAATGTAGAATGCTAAAAATAGTAAATAGTCAATTTTTTATTGACTTACAGATCAGCTCTGTCATCACAGTTGTCTTCCTCTGTCTCTGTCTCTTTTTCTGTCTCATCAGTCTCGATAGTCTCATCCGTTTCCGTCTCGGTGTCACCTACGCCACCTCCCTCATCAGACTCCTCATGCACATTATAGTCATACACATCATCGTCACCATCAACTCCATCCCTATTTGCATCCTCACCATCGGCATCTACATGTAAGGTCGATTCATTTTCTTTGGCGATATGTCCAATACTGCTTGCTGGTGAAAAATATAAGTACACTTAATCAACTTTCAACGATTTTTTTTATGATAGACAGCTGGTAGTTAAGCTTTTCGTCATTCTTATACATCTACACATGAAACGATAAATATATATATAGATTTGGAAAAAGTCTCAGACAGTTGAGGGTACATGTACTCGGGAAAAAAATCTTTAATGCATTTCTTCCATTCATTACAAATAAACCAGTGAAGTGGTCATAAATAAAGTACTTACTTAGCCTCCGCTTAATCATCTTCTTCTCTTTTCGATGCTCGCCCAATTTACCCTGAAGCGACTTCACTTGATTTCGTAACATCCGTATCTAATTTTGGAGTTCACCACAGTTGCTACAACCCTCGATCTCGCTCTCAACTTCCACGGTCGATGCTTCCTCTTCGGGCAGTTCGACAGTTTTTACCTGCCTGACCTCAGAGACCTCTTCTTCTTCAAGAGCAACAGCAACACATTCAGAGGAGCTTTGATTTTCGATTTGCACATGCTCCTCTTCCCCGGAATTCTGGTCACCTTTCGCGGAATTTTCCTCGCAAGCAGATGATGTTTTCGTGCTGCTTAACGCCTGCATCTCTTTGACGATCTAAAAAAAGAAAGCTTATAAATAAACTTCCAAACTTCAGCGATTTTGCAATAGGTCGAGATTATGTATAAAGCTTAAGTATTTCCGTAAGTAGTGTACTACATGAATTTTTCACCTTTCTAGCGATTGATCTTTTGTCTCTAGCCGACTGAGGTTTGGTAGCAGAGCCTTCGAGTTCAGGGTGATTTGCTTGTTTACTGGGAAAGACGCAAGGCCCTAGATCGTCTTCTTCAGGCGAGAACAAGATAGGATTTTCTGCCCGGAAAGAACGGTAAACACTCGAGTAAAATCTTCCCTTTTAAAATGTAAGGAGCAGATCTTTGAATGCTAGGTAGGCTCCCATTTAGCTCTCCTCTGCTGGACAAAGTTCACCCATTTCTGTCGTCTTTTGATGCTTTCCTCCCGTGGATCACCAAAGAAAGGAATTCTGTGAAGCCCGATACCTCTTCGAGGATCGGCTGTTCTGCTACAACCGAAAACAACAACAAGAAGATTTCAAGAGAAGTCCGTGTTGAGCGCTAAAGTCGAGCTCCTTCGATGACGTCACAATAACACTCGGACCCATTCTCCACCGAGCTCGGCAGTGGCCGCAAGAACCGCCAAAATTTCAAACTTTGAAAAATTATAAAAAAATAAGGAAAAACGCTATGATAAAAATGTTTTCGCACAAGTAAGCAGGATGATAAGATTTCGTTCAGCAAAAAAAAAAATGGGGGGTTAGTTGGACTTTAACAATCGGTAATGTGGCTAAGCTGCGCCCACATAATGGTGACGATTAGTCGAACTCCACTGAAAACCAAATGGCGAGCCATGTAGCAAGAATTGACATAAATGCCTGGTAAAAGAATATCAAAGTGCATTGAGGACACACAAATAATTGCGGTCGGATAGGATTGCACACTCGTAATATTCACCAGGACACAAAGTATGAATAAGGCCAACACCAGCAAATATAAACAGTTATGCACGAAAGGCAAAGAACAGTTCTGTAGAACTGTAAGAACAATGAGTGCAGCCAAAACAGAATGCGCCCAATTAAATAAAGGCGGCAAGTCAGTAACATAAACCGCTTTCACTAAAACAAAGCCATAGTGAAGCAAGTACGTAAATTTTAAAAGGCTTGACTGGGAAATGAAATCAAACGTTGAAAATTCAACAAGACGAAATTGTGTTGAACAGGCTCAAGGACCTTAGGATTCCTTCCCTAAGACTACAATGGTATTTTTCCTGACCCAAGGAATTGAGATGGACACCATCACGTGCGGAAAAGTTCTGAGTCGGGCGCCAGAACCCCCTATGGCCCCAAAAAATAGCTTAAGGTATCGGCTCTAAAACTACCTGAAGGTATTTCGTTAACAGCTTGGCCTTACGATTAAAGACTACTGCACCCTGGTGTATAATGGTGTGGCACACATGGACAACTTTAACACCCTAGGTGTCATGCAAGAGCATACCAAAATCTTATATAGGTGAGCGAACATGTAAAGGGTAAGAGTATTAAATCATTGGAACCCAACTGGATCATAACTATCTCCCATCCATGTCTCTCTTATAATCAGGCTTCCTACCAGTGTATTCGGCTAGCATCCTCTCTTCAACATAGCCAACAAAGAGAAACGCATAGTTTGGTCCTAATCCTGCTACCCATTGCCAGGCCACCTACTTGCCTGTAATATGGGCCGTTGAACTCAAAGGTGTAGCGGGTCTGCACCAATTCAGCCACTACTCTCATCATTTTTTACTTATTGGACGGGAGGATCCAAGCCCAGGACACTGTCAGGTTGAGAGTTTGGCTGGGGCGGCACATCTGTCAAATGATAACACAGGGGTCCTAATGTGAGCTCATTGAGAAGAGAAATCTTATGTAGAACAAAAGGGTAAAAGCTCACTTGATTTTGACTTTCAGTATGAATACAAAGTGTGAGAGCATGGCCTATCGATACTTCAATCTTTAAGGAGGAGCATTTTTAAGGTAGAGGTGTCAGAAAAGTTACCACAGGGACGAGACAGTGATGGCTTTGTGTACGTTTGAGTTCGGTATCCCACCCGCCCACCCTGCTAAAGCAAAAACCAAGCACAGGGATAACCGGCCTATGGCATCCAAGCCATTGTTCAAACGCTCGAGTTGCTTTTTGAACCTTCGAACGCGGCTCTTCTACAACCTATCATTCCGTGGCAGAATTTTCCAGATTCCTTCTTTTATCATTTCCCCCCCAAAACACACAACGGGAACGTTTCTCAAGGACTACAGAGTCGTTCAAAGTAAAGGTAAGACTTTAATTGTGAGCGTGATTGCATTGGTAAACATATATCTGGGTGTCGGCCGTGGAACATATCGACCTACCACAGTTCAATGTATCTAAAAGCGTACTATAAGGCTCTTTAGAGAGCACAAAGAATGATAACTACAACGTAGTAAAGGAGAATTTGTGTTTGCTAAATGTAACCAACGATACAACTGTCTACAATATGCGGCCTAGACGGTAAGGAAACGGACGGGCTTACACCTAACTCTTAAAGAGTACTCCTTAGAGTATATTGCGGGCAGATATAAGAACGCAATGTGTCCATAACTGGCACAAGTAACGTGGAAAATATCGGAGAAGAAACTAGACCCGGAAGTGCGAAAATGGGTACCACATTTGTCAATGTCCCCGTGGACAACGCACAACCCAATTGAAACTTGTAGTCTAAGTAGTGACTTGCTTATAGACGTTGCAAGAACGGTTTGCAAAATCGTGTTACTTTCTGTAACAATAACGTAAAGGAGAATTTGTGTTTGCTAAACGTAACGAACGATACAACTGTCTACAATATGCGGCTTACACGGTAAGGAAACGCACGGGCTTACACCTACCCCTTAAAGAGTACTCCTTAGAGTATATTGTGGGGACATATAAGAACGCAATGTGTCCATAACTGGCACAATTAACCCTCTAAAATATCGGAGAACAAAGTAGACGCGGAAGTGCGAAATGGGGTACGACATTTGTCAATGTCGTCGTGGACAACGCAGAACCCAATTGAAACTTGTACTCTAAGTAGTGACTTGGTTATAGACGTTGCAAAAACGGTTTGGAAAATCGTGTTACTTTCTGTAACAATAACGTTCAGCATATATAAACGTCGCTACTGAAGAACATAACAGTGAATAAGTGATAAGACTCACTCAAGCTAAAATCCTGTTGATAAAGCGACCCTTCAAGGTCGAGAGGTGGCGGAAAACGGGTTGTTCAGGGCAGAAAGACGCAATTGACAAGAACGCAGGTCTGCGCAGTTGTTACATGAGTCTACGACGTTCAGGGTTACAGTTGGATCAACAGGATTGCAGTTTGAGATGTCTTTAACGTTGGTGTATTTGATGGTGGACTTGACGACCACCATGTAAGAAACAACGCGTCTTTTTAGTGTGAGTGACGCAGTGGTTCGTACCAGGATCTGGATATAGTACAATGTGTTGAACGCAACTGTGGACAAGTGTTGACGAACGTATCGTAGCTGCAGGAGCGATGTTGTAGTTCAATGTAGTGCGGAAGTTGTGAACGTGGTTGTGGGCTATCGTGTCTACTAACGTCTCCTGCAGTACGATATGTTTGCTAAATCACTTGCTTGTTGTACCCTTGGTACTCTAGCTACACTAATCAAAATAGATGTGGCGGGCGGTTGGCTGTCCCCTTTTGGCTCGTGAGCCTCGTGGTCTGCCTCGCGTTGTTGCTCTGGGTTGTCTCGTTCCTCGTGTCCGAGGTGTCGTCTGTTTTCTTTTTGTGGGTGGCGCCGACATTGCACCAGAGGAGCTGGTGTCGGCACTGAAGCCAAACCTGGCCCAAACGTTACTTGTGGCAGAGGGTCTCTTCCGGCTCGGCGGTGCTTTCCCTTTTTCTGCCCTGGAGAGAGTTCCAGGCTCATGGTACTCTTCGGGGTCTGGCTGCGTTATAAATAACGCATGCTCTGCTGACGATTCCGGGGTGTTAAATGGTTCGCCTTCTTCATTCTCCTCGTCTTCGTCGTCCAAGATCGTGGTCCTTTGTCTCCTACGCGTTGGTGGACGTATGTCTTCTTCCGGCTCATCCTCGTACTCATAGTCCGGGTCTTCCTCTTCTGGATTGTCGTCGATGACTCCCAAAACGTGCTGGTCTGGCGTGCCTGTCTGCTGGAGCTTCTCTGAGTGAGAGTGTCCCAGATGCTTCCTGCGGGGTCATCTTCTGCCACTGCCTCAGTGTGGCTGAGCGTTTGCGAGGCAATATAAGCGACCATTGATTCGCAGGAAGGATTTTGCTTAAATGCCTGGACCTCTGTCGACTCACGGTGACGTTTCGCGTATTCCGCGGGATGACTAAACAATGTCTCCAATGTCATTATGTGTGTGGCCACCGAAAACATCGCGCCCGACGCGGCGAACAAGTGCTTACACAAGCCCTTAAGTGTGTCATCCTCCACAAATTTCATGAGGTCCCGCAGGTCACGCTCATCGGGCTCCTCACTGGTCGCGGAATCCTTCTTATTGAAGCGCTGCAAGACGCTCCTTATTGGCCGGGCCTTGTTAAGCAACGGATCGACTGCGTGTTTTGTAAACACTTGATCCTTGTAGTCAGCGAGGGTGGCAAGATTGGCATATATCGTGTCGGCCAGTTCACTGATGGCATAATTGGGACGCGTTAGCCACTCGCAGTTCCAATGATATAATTTGTCGAGGATTTCGCGAGAGGTCAGTAATCCATGAGTTTTCCCATACGGGGTCAAAAAGTGCTTAGTCTGGTGTTTAAAATAATTGACGCCCGTCTTACTTTCGGGAGTCCAGGGATTCTGTGTACGTCTAGACATAGCTGCAAAGAAATAGTGGCTAGTGAGATTCAACGTTCAATCGTCAGCGTGAGGGTTGGGTACGTATGTGTATCTCTGCTTAGCAGCTATGTGAAAACAAGTTCGGTCCGTAGCGTCGGAGAACGCGCAACATTCTGTGGCACAGTGGTGAGAAGAAAATGATTCAAGTCGTTGACAATCAGGAGTGGTCAGTCTGAAAGCGGTGGCCAAGACGGTGATCAACGCAATGAGACGGGTAATTGAACAAGTTGCTGGCAGCGATATTAGCTACAACTGGTTCGTTCATGCCTGGACAGGACCTGCTGGCCTTAGCGCTCGGGTGAGCATCACCGTCGACTACGTATGTGTATCTGTTGCACCAGGCATGTAGGAAAAACTTCACGTACTAGTGTTGGGGACGCGGGAAAAGAGTGTCCTGCAGTGCTCACTGTAAGTTCATGCAAGAGGTTCTGAAGAAGACGCTGCTCAGTGTGGAACCGCTGCAAACGGGTCGAACAAGCCAGTCGGACGTCTCAGGTTCAGCAGGTTGCTGCCAGAAGTGGTGTCCACGAGTCGTTTGGTGACGGCGCGACACAGAGGGTTTAAGAGAGCGCTGGGTTAAGCTATCCTCACTCTTCCGGACGCGAGACAGAGCGACATATCCCATACCGCTGGGCACAGTAGGGCAGTCAAACCACAGCAAAAGCTTCCGGATGTTAGCACCTTGGGTCTTACAGATGGTCATGCAGTATGCTGGGTTCAACGCGTAGTGGACTCTACTGTGCCCGTCTTCACTGATGGTGGTAATAGGGTGGGTAAAGGTTGTCTTGCCGTTCGGAAACTTGAGGAGGAGCGTGTTGTTGTGGCTGTTCAAAATGGTCGCCAGCTGCCCATTCACGACACTGGTCCGCTTATCAAGATTTTGCGTCACCACCATGCACATATCGCGAAAGGGGAGGAACTCGTGGGCGTCATTTTCCAGAGGTATAGTTGAGACAGGTGTTTGGTTCTCGAATCCTCGGCTGATAACGATGTTGTTCACCCGGTTGGCCGCAGCGCGGGACACTGTCAGGAATGTGGCATCTGGCGCATCTTGCAGAGTATGCCAAATGTCATAATCGGTGATATCTGATTCCCGGAACAGCAGCAGCGGTCGTTGAAAATTGTCCAGCACGTACTGTTCGGGACGGGAATAGCGGATATACTGCAGGAAATCCATGTACGCCTTGTCGGTGCACCGGAACTGTTGATACAGGGAATGGACCTGACAGACTTCACGTAGGCGGTGGTTCTTCAAGATGGACGTGGTTTGGGTCGTACGGCCATTGATGGTCTGCAAAGGCGGTTGTTGACATTCATCGCCGGCAATGATGACGAGGGGTCGATGGGGCTGTTTTTCCAATGTGTCGTGCACCATGTCAAACGTGTTATCGGCCACCATCGAAGCCTCGTCGATGCTAACAGCATCGTATGTCCCGATCTTGTAGTTAACCACGTATTCTTGGTCCGCCGCAACTGGGATATTGAAAAGAGCGTGGATGGTATCAGCCTGCAGATCCGAATAGAATTCTTCCCTGTAGTTAGTGGCAAGAAGACCCAGGGGAGCGCACACAGCAACAGAGTATTCCTCTTCGATTAAGGTGTGGATGAGGCGCTTCACCACTTGAGTCTTCCCAGTTCCGGGGCAGCCTAACAAGAGTTGGTATTTCGCGTAGTCGTTGGAGTTGGGGTCAGTTACTTCCTGGGTGGAGCGAGTGGGTGCACTTGACCATGGGCCGTAGATGGAGCGTCGGCGCGTGTCCACAAGAGAAAGATATCTGGAATAAATCGCTCGCTGCTGCGGTGAGAGAGGATATTGGAGCTCAAACTGAGAGTGCTCAGAGCTTGCAAAGGTGCAGTCGATCACTCCCAGTTGCCACAGCGCGTAGATGTCGTGAAGCGATTGAATATAGAGCAGGATGGTCTCCAGATAGCTCCTCTTGTGGGATTCACTGGACAAGTACTCCAAGATGGTGTCTCTGGACCCTAGGATCTCCGGCAGCTTCTCCACGGCTGGAACAAAGTGTTTGATGAGCTCTGGTAGGCGCTCTTCGCGGACATCGTGAAGCTCATCAACCGTACGGTGAGGCAAATTCATAACCAGCAGCTGGTAGAAGAAGATGGGGTTGAATGGCGACAAGTGCTTGACACCAACGAGAGTACTGCCGTTTTTATATCGTTTCGGAGGATTTATCTCATGGTCATACTCGCGGAGCAACTGCAGAAATGTGAGATGTTCATCCGGTTCAGGACGTCCAAGGTACTTCAGGTGGACCTTGTGTTGCGTTTGCCCAGGTGTTGGGGCTGTGAACGGCTTGGTTCGCGAGTTGGTCCACGCGATCTTCATGGAGGTAAGCTGAAGCACCATCTCCGGTTCCAAGGGATGCATGTTTTTCAAGAATGATGTTGCAGCCTGATACGCGCCAAGGTCGACGGAGTAAAGTTGTTGCGTTTTAACTGCATCGTGACACTTGGCGACGTAGGAGGTGACGTACTTCAACAGCATCGCCTTGCCATCGGAGGATTGGACGTCCATAGAACACTGCAGAGAACCAGTGACGGCAGGGACAAAAGCGTGCAGGTTACAGCCTTTATCGCTTCGACTATGGTGGAACGCCAAGTAGGTCTGATTATTTTCCGTGAGCACCCGGTTTGGTCCCTGTCTCAGCGGAAGAGAGCTGGTTCGCGATTTCTGGAGATCGTACACTAAGAACGCTTCCTCCACATTCCCCCACGGTATGGTTGCAGAGAGTTGCGTCACATCAATCTCCGTCATGTCGTCTAGCCAGATGAGAATATGGGCGTGAAGAGTGCCCCTCTTTTGGAACTCGAAGCGATAAAAATAGTTGGTGACGTTGTTCGCAGAGGGGTCACTCTTCTTAGCAAGCAGGTGGTTCTTCCATCGGTTGGTGTTGCTTCCACATAAATAGCCACGGATGTATTGTTCAAGCACGTGCGCAATGTGGATCGTCTCCGGTATTGCTAGTTCCGTCGCATCTTTCCCCGTCTTGTTCCGCAGATGGTCTAGTCACGGGGGACATGGGAAACTCCACTCAAAGGGCGAAATAGTAATGAAGATTGACGGGTACCCGAATTGGCGGACGGCATCGATCAAGTACCGGTGCTGGTTCCTCCAGTATTGACTGAATGTCTTCGCCTCTAGTGCGGTGGCCGGTGAACATTGCGCTTGTTTTGCGGAGTTGATCGCTCCGGTGATTGTTTTGAACAGCCAACGATCGTAATGATAATGCAACAGATCGTAGTTCGTGGCGTAATCGCAGATAGGAGAGGCGATTTTCGTCATGAAGGACACCTTGCCGCTTTTGCGACTTTCTTGCCCCTCCAGGAAAGACTCACACAGGCTATTGTCGTGGTACAAGTGTGGCCATAGCGCAGCCTCAACTCCGTGGAAGGATTCATGTGAAAACAATTCAAATATCCAGGGCTCGCGGACGTGACTTCGGTGCATCATAATGAACTTCTTATATGAGCAATTTTTCTTCTTCATCAAGTAATCGAAAGCAGCTTGCGTGCGTCTCCTGGACACTGGATCCCTGATGTTGCGTATTTTCACCTCGACGTCGTGCTTCGCCCATTTGATTTTAAATGGCTCTTCGCGCACTCTATAGCCGAACATCATGCGATTGTATCGGCCAGAGAATGCGCGAAAAGGACGGAGGGCATAGGTGTCATCCATGGTGAGATTCTGGAGAGCAGCTGGCACTTTGCTAGGATGTGGTACCTTGTATCGGCCACCGGTGCAGGTGCATGAGGTAGAACTGGTGGGCTTCGCACGCTTCCGGTAGCCAGGCAGAAGCTTCTTGGATTGCAAAGATCCACATCGTCTGCAGTATGCCCAGCTCATGTGTTCCGCCCAGAATCGCAGGTCATCGGCTAGGTCTGTAAACACAGATTTCGTCCTGGTTGGGTGAGTCGGGGTTCTAAAGGCTCGGAGAAATTCTTCTTTACGTGTTGCACGCTTCCGTAGACGTTCAGCGCGGCGTCCAGCTCTCGTGTCATTCAGCTGGTGGTGTCTCCAGATCTGGTACTCCAGCTACGTTCTCGTCTCAAATCCCCGCATTCTAAATTTGGCATGAAGCCGTTGAAACCGGGGGGAGGGGTACCGTCGCAAAAGTTCTTGTTTCTCTCTTTTGGTCTTGTTTGCAGTTGGCGTCCATTGACGTGTATATCCTCGCTGTGTTTTAGTCCATAGCAATCAAACTTTCCAGAGTAGTCCTTTGGTCAATGCTTTACAACTCTGTGAAGCGTCGAGGTCATACAATGAAAGTCACGTGACTTATTCGTCTGTAAAGACGTCATCTCGGTAAACGTTTCCAACACGACTCCAAAACTTCAGTCAAATTGACCAAAACCTCCTGCCACTTTGAACTTCCATGACAACTGTAAAGAAATAATGAAAGAGTGTCAATTTGTTCTGCTAATATTCATTGTAGGCTAAGAGCAACGCTGCTCTCGGCCCATTCCAAAAACTATGCCAGCAATATAGAAGATTGGTTTGGACCGGGATTACAGGGCCATAAACCAGTCAGTGCCTCGAGGAAGGAACGGGTTAAGACGCTGGATATACCATCCAAGGTGTCCTAACATTGTGGTAACGTAACTACGGAACAAAGAAACACGACCAAATGGTTACACACCCAAAGACATTCATCACACAGTTCCCACATCTCAGTGAAGCGTCATCTAAAGCAAGTATGAAGCAAAACGTTACTTTTACGGCGCATGCGCACTGACAAAACTACTGCTAACTCTGGTGGGTTTCATTACACCCTGCTCATTTTTGGTAACAGGCATCCTCATCGTCTTACCATACTGTTTCTACATTTGCAAGTGTCTACGTTGAAATGGCACAAAGATACAAGGGATACGACGTTTTTTAAGGAGGCTCTCACCGACTCTCAATGTTGCTAAGATGCAGAAATACAATCAATCACCTTCGAAAACGTCGACATTTACACAAC